CTCTTGATATCAAACACTGGGTCGTCTGATCCAGATTTGATTATTTACAGACTGCCGTCATAGCTGCAATATTGCTGAGTGTGGTTGAAGACCTACTCTAACCTGACGTGAAGATGAGTGATCCGACAAATTAATGGAGGGTGACCAAATATATATTTGTGTAATACTCGTATGTAGCTACATGACACATGCATAATTCTGAACGTTGACAATTTGAACATTGTCGCTATCGTAGGTAATTTAGCTATTATGTTATATCATAGTCCGTCATCCATCACTTTGGCGCCCATTTTCCACAATTTTTTTCCATTAAAAACACAATCACGCGACAAAAGTTGGTTATTATCGAATAATACTCAATGACTAAGCGAAAAGTGCCAGTTTTTGTCATATTTCATGTCCGAATATAAGTATTTTCTTCATTGTTATCGTGCAATTTTGTGAGCGCCGACCTGGCCCTGTAGTAGGGGTAAGCGCAGATGACCTAATGACGTAATGTGTGTCATACATGCATGAGGGGGCACGGGTAGCCCAGTCGTCTAAGGCGCCGCGATTCGCTGTGCAGAGTTGCGTCCCTTGGGCACGCCAGAAACCTATGATTGTGGGTTCGAATCCCGGTTCGCCCCGATTATGTTTCTAGGTATGTCAGCACCATGCCCGTGCTCGTGGGTTTCACCGAAGTGGTAAACGTCTGAGACCTGCATCACTTCGGGCTTTCCTCCCACATTAAGCTGACACGCCGTGATATAACTGTAATACTGTTAAAAGCGGCGTTAAACCCAACTCACTCACTCACTCACTCATACATGCATGACCCTTGGTCACTTTCATATCCAGCCCGATGGTGATGGAATGTCTCAAAGACAAGCAAATATATTGAAATGAGTTATGAAATGAAATAAGATTTAAACTACCTCTGTATATGAAAACGTATTATTATACCAGGATTGTTGATTAAACATCTTTACAGTAGCTGATGCTCAATTATCGTTAAATCCGAGTTGAATGTCTGTGTCATCGTAGAATTTGAATTAATAATGATAGGTGGAATGAGATCTCTCAATACTCAAACCTGTCAAAACTGTCCAGCTTTTCCTTCTTCTTGGGTTTTGAGATGGGCCCCTTTGGTTCGTCATCTGCAGGTTTCAAACACTTATAAGGGGAGATAATTCGGAATAACGTCCTTCGAGGTGTGTTAGGTGCATGCAATGTTCTCTTCGTGAAGGTTCTCAAAGGTGTTTTTATTTTTGATTCACGTTTTAAAAAAACTACGTATCTTTCGAATAATATCACGAGACTCCTTTGACAACATGTACTCTGCAAAAAAATAATGTCATATATCATATAAATAATCAACATATGGTATTTGATTGTTAAAAATTAGCATAAATCATTGTCATTGACCAAGGTTCCATATGACACACATGGAACTGTAGATTTTCAAGGTGAAGGTGATATGTTCTCAATATCTTGATGGCCACCATAAGAGTCCAAAACTGACTGGCATCGTCGTCCCATGGAAGCAATCAGATACCGAAGTGTGGCCTGGGGAATGTTCATCCACTCTGCCTGCAGTGCTTGTGCCAACTGTCGGAGGTTCTGTGGTATTTGCTGACGTGCTCGCTGTCGTTGATCCAGTGCATCACATAAATGTTCGATTGGGTTTAAATCTGGAGACCTTGAGGGACATGGCAAGACCTGGATGTTGTGATTCCTGAAAAGGCTATTGTCAGTCTTGCCGTCAGAGGTCGGGCGTTATCTTCTTGGAAAATGACGTTCGTTTGTTGCACAATGTGAAGGACGTGTGGCTGCAGAATCTCATCCGTGTAACGTTGTGCTGTTAAAGTCTGGTCTACCAGTGTAGGAGATGGCTTCCCACATTATCACACTGCCACCACAGTTTCGAGCATAACGTTCCCCGCGACGCCTGTAAACACAACATCTGTCATCCTAACGGTGAAGCATAAACGTCTCCATCGCAGTTGTGGCCCTACTCTGACCTTGACACCGGTGACGTCGCCGAGGACGATGCAGGTCCGTCAAAATGTCACCTCGAACTGGTCGTCTAGCGCAAATACCGTCAGCACGTAAAAGGTTACTCACTGTCTGGGCTCATATCCTATGCAATCCTGGTATTGCCGTAGTTGTAGAGGTGGCCGTGTTGGTTCTTTCACGTAAGTGACCTAGCCGTATGAATCTGTCCTGTGCTCTAGTAGTGATACGTGGTCTACCGGATCTGGGAAGGTCTCGTGTTGTCCCGTTTGTCTGATAACAGTTTCACAGTCTTGTAATATGCTTGGTGCTAGGTGGAAAAACCTGGCAACATCTGAAGATGATTTTCCTGTTTGCAGTCGGCCGATGGCGTTGTTGCGTTGTTCTTCCGTCGTGGCATGTCTTTGCTGTTCATATGATGTAAGATTGTGATGACATGCAAATGAAAACCAATGCTCTTATACCCCATTAAGTGACGTTGCGCGTGTATGTCAAGTTTGTGTATTTCGGCGATTTTTCTATCTTTTCACCAAATTTCTGCAGTACCTCATTTTTTCCACACAAATCAATGATTATTGGCGACACTCCGTCAGATATTTACGATTTCTTCTACTTTTGCGTTTCTTTTTTGGCAGAGTATATCTCCACGTTTTTTTCTGAATATGTTGTTATAACCAGAGGAGTAGGCGACCTAGTTCCCAAAATATCTGTAGAAGTAATAGATAAGAATTGTTCTAAAAATAGATTCGATAGGTAACTTTATGGAACAAAGATATATGTGATGTAAAATGTCAAACCATATGTCAGATTGGACATAATTCCCTATTTTGACTTCTACCATATGAATATAACAGACAAGGCGGTCTCAGTGGTATCCTTTGTTACCTTACCAGGTTGGTAGACCAGTGGAAGGGAAATGGCTGTTTGATGGAAATTGAACGACATCAATTCATGGATATATACTCACCGACAAAGGAAACGCGACTCCCATACTTGTTGGTTAATATATGAAGAGTTATTAGATTGATTCGATGCACAAATGAACATACTGTTATGTTGCGTGAACCGACGCTCATGAACGCATCACATGATTTACTCACATTCAAGAGTTATTAGATTGATTCGATGCACAAATGAACATACTGTTATGTTGCGTGAACCGACGCTCATGAAAGCATCACATGTGACGTCATAGATTCATGAGTAGAGATGCACCATTTGCCTCGTGCAGGATAAGCATGTAAAGTTTGGAAATAGCGTGTAGCATATTGTGATAAGAATAAAGACACGTCTTGATAAACACATATCATGGATATTCCTTACACTTGACTGATTGTTAGTTTAGTCATGAATTGATGCTCATTGGAAACATCATTTCTTAACGTACATACTTCTCTATATGTTTCTGTAGTTCGCGTTTCTTTGACCGTGAGTATATCTGAAGCCATCTTCCCAAGGCAAGAGCGTTAACTGACTTTACAAGTCCAATTTCCACCCTTGCCGAACTAGGCTGGAATTCCTGGGCTCGATCGTAGCGGCACCTGTGGCTATTACGAGTTATGTCCATTCTATGCCTCTCCCATATGGACCAATCAGATTCCACCTCTCGTATCACATGCATTTGCTTCAAACAAAATGGTGGCGCCCAGTCAAGACGATCTGATCGACCATCAAGATCTATTTAGTGATAAAACGGTTCTTACTTCGCGAAGTATATCAAATCGTGAGCACCTTGATTAAAAACATGAAAAAAATGGAAAATATAATTATGTTGACAACGAGTTGACGATGCACATGCTTTGCAAATCCTGCAATCGACCGAACTCTGCATGACAGTTTGCGAACCGGATTTCGATTTCGGTGCGCGATTTTGATTGGACTATGCATAGACTCGTTAGTCAAGCCAAATTGTAACTCCATAATCCCAGCCTAGTTCGGCAAGGACAACTGGACTTTTATAGTCAGTCAGTTAACTCTCTTGCCTCGGCAAAATGATCTTAAGCTTCAGTTAAACCTTTTGGCCAGATGACCTTGTTTCGATTTTGCAAGGTGGAATTTAGTTTTCATGCCACGTTAATCTTTTTGCATTGTTGTATTTATTGAATAATTCAACTACAAACAATCTTTTGTCTTTCACATATACAATAGGCACTTTTTCCATGTCAATAAGAGTTGACACAATGGGATCACCCATAGAGTCAGTTGAGCAGGACGTTCGGCCGTCTCAATTTCAAATTTAATGCCCATTGCTTTTAGGAAATGTGTTTGTTTCCGATATTGTGTCCAAGATTATAAATGCATGTAAAGAGGGTCCCTATACCTTTAAATAAGCTACGCGGTGTAATGGAACTTGAACAGCCAGGACTGTAAGAATAAAATTATATGTTTCACATCCGTTACATTCAATCAACAGGAAAATTTGTCAATGGAGTAATTTGGTGTGAAAGAATAGCAATTCACAAAAAAGTGGGATCTTTCTACCATCAAGGGGAAAATATCAGTACCGATAAACGCAAGTTTGTTGATGTTAGGTTAGAAGTTTCAGACGTGATAAGTGGTTTATTGCGATAGTGTGAAATGAAGCTAACATGGAGAAGCATTTAATGCGGTTAGTTAATGGTGCTAAGTTAGTAGCCATTTTTAAACAACATTTGACACCTCAGCAAAAGCCAACTGCGCAAGCGCGAAGTGCCGAGTCAGTATAACGGCTGTCTATGCCAGGTCAGTGCTGTCACTAAGTAGGACAGAAGCAAGCAAGCTGTGTATAAGGAATTTATTCTCCCGCTCAGAAATGTGTTTCCCTCCCAGACGGGACACGTAATAATTGATCAAGTTTATGTGAACCAATCAGATCTCATCATTCGGACATGGAAGTATGAAAAAGTATTTTATCGAGATTACATGAACCAAGTAGATCTCATCATTCTGACATGGAGGTAAATGTATGATAATAACATTTGTCACTGTAGACATAAACCAGGTCACTTCAAAACATTAATGATAAGAGACTTAAATACGCCTAGTCATGCATAGAGAAGCTCTTATCGGTGACTGCATACTTCACGCAGGTTCTGCAGACGTCTAACACTGAAACAGGTATGCGGAGCTCTTAACATACAAAGAGGCAATTATTTTGTTCAGCAATTGTTTACGTTTTCAGGTGAACAAGTGCTTATCTTTGTATGTGGTAGTGACTGGTGCCACCGGTGGGATAGCTCATCGTGTACGAACACCTGGTATCATCACTATTTGATAGTGATTCATAAACACATGGTCATCGGAATCCTTTTTATACATGTACATAAAAGTACACTACTTCTCACAACTTCGTTTGCTAAATCACAGCAGTAAGGTACAATAAGTCTGCAAAGTACCACTGTAATTCGGCAAACGTACCGCGGTAATTTGCAAGCGTACGCCGGTAATTCTGCAAACGTACCGCGGTAATTTGCAAGCGTACGCCGGTATTTCTACAAACGTACCGCGGTAATTTGCAAGCGTACGCCGGTAATTCTGCAAACATGAGAAAGCACCTTGTCACGTTTCCGGGACTGTACCAGTCTGTGGAAGAAGTATTTGTGAGCAGTAGTGTAGATGATGTAATAATTAGTTACAATAAGAGCCACAAAACCCTTTCCGTAGCCACAAGAACGCCGAAGACCCGGGTTCGATTCTCCACATGGGTACAATGAGTGAATCCCATTTTTGGTGTCCCCCGCCGTGATATTGCTGGAATATGCCAAAAGCGGCGTCAAACCATACTCACTCACTCAGCATAGCCGCAAGAAATCTCTGCCAAAAGCAGGGTCGATTGGACAATTCCGACTATATCATGAGCATGTGTTCATGAATCACCATCAACTAGTGATGATGCCAGGTGTTCGCTAAAAGGTGAGTTTTAACAATTCTGTTTCCTCTTTTTCTGTTTATGCATTGTGCCAATGACAACACCACTCACTGACTTCACCCACACTGAGATACGTTCAACAAGTTCCTCTTCTTATTTGACTCATTTGGCTCAGTAGACACTTTCCACAATTCTCCCATCCTCCAGCAAACCATATACACCAATATCGCTTCCTCTAGTGCTACACCCTTTACTCGAGTAGCCCTTCTTCTTATGGTTTCTTAAGGTTTTAGAGTCAAGTCAAATTTTTTTGATGATGTCAAAACCATGTTTCTGTTCCAAGCCAGAACAACTGCAGCAGGATGATACCATGTGCACCTGTGCTCTTACTATTAGTCTTGCCAGGTATGTATCACTCTTAGATCACACATCGTGAGTATACCTTGTAACATGTGTTTTGTTAGATCACACATAGTGAGTATACCTTGTAAAATGTGTTTTGTTAGATCACACATAGTGAGTATGCCTTGTAAAATGTGTTTTGTAAGATCACACATAGTGAGTATACCTTGTAACATGTGTTTTGTTAGATCACACATAGTCAGTATACCTTGTAAAATGTGTTTTGTTAGATCACACATAGTGAGTATACCTTGTAACATGTGTTTTGTTAGATCACACATAGTGAGTATACCTTGTAACATGTGTTTTGTTAGATCACACATAGTGAGTATACCTTGTAACATGTGTTTTGTTAGATCACACATAGTGAGTATACCTTGTAACATGTGTTTTGTTAGATCACACATAGTGAGTATACCTTGTAACATGTGTTTTGTTAGATCACACATAGTGAGTATACCTTGTAACATGTGTTTTGTTAGATCACACATAGTGAGTATACCTTGTAACATGTGTTTTGTTAGATCACACATAGTGAGTATACCTTGTAACATGTGTTTTGTTAGATCACACATAGTGAGTATACCTTGTAACATGTGTTTTGTTAGATCACACATAGTGAGTATACCTTGTAACATGTGTTTTGTTAGATCACACATAGTGAGTATACCTTGTAACATGTGTTTTGTTAGATCACACATAGTGAGTATACCTTGTAACATGTGTTTTGTTAGATCACACATAGTGAGTATACCTTGTAACATGTGTTTTGTTAGATCACACATAGTGAGTATGCCTTGTAACATGTGTTTTGTTAGATCACACATAGTGAGTATGCCTTGTAACATGTGTTTTGTTAGATCACACATAGTGAGTATACCTTGTAACATGTGTTTTGTTAGATCACACATAGTGAGTATACCTTGTAACATGTGTTTTGTTAGATCACACATAGTGAGTATACCTTGTAACATGTGTTTTGTTAGATCACACATAGTGTGTATACCTTGTAAAATGTGTTTTGTTAGATCACACATAGTGAGTATACCTTGTAAAATGTGTTTTGTTAGATGACACATATTGCGTATGGCTTGTAAAATGTGTTTTGTTAGATCACACATATTGCGTATGGCTTGTAAAATGTGTTTTGTTAGATGACACATATTGAGTATGCCTTGTAAAATGTGTTTTGTTAGATGACACATAGTGAGTATGCCTTGTAAAATGTGTTTTGTTAGATCACACATAGTGAGTATACCTTGTAACATGTGTTTTGTTAGATCACACGTAGTGAGTATGCCTTGTACAATGTGTTTTGTTAGATCAAACATAGTGAGTATGCCTTGTACAATGTGTTTTGTTAGATGACACACAGTGAGTATGCCTTGCAAAATGTGTTTTGTAAGATCACACATAGTGAGTATACCTTGTAAAATATGTTTTGTTAGATCACATATAGTGAGTATGCCTTGTAAAATGTGTTTTGTTAGATTACACATAGTGAGTATGCCTTGTACAATGTGTTTTGTTAGATCAAACATAGTGAGTATGCCTTGTAAAATGTGTTTTGTTACATCACACATAGTGAGTATGCCTTTTAAAATGTGTTTTGTTAGATCACACACAGTGAGTATGCCTTGTAAAATGTGTTTTGTTAGATCACACATAGTGAGTATGCCTTGTACAATGTGTTTTGTTAGATCACACAAAGTGAGTATGCCTTTTAAAATGTGTTTTGTTAGATGACACATATTGAGTATGCCTTGTAAAATGTGTTTTGTTAGATCACACACAGTGAGTATGCCTTGTACAATGTGTTTTGTTAGATGACACACAGTGAGTATGCCTTGCAAAATGTGTTTTGTTAGATCACACATAGTGAGTACACCTTGTAAAATGTGTTTTGTTAGATCACACATAGTGAGTATACCTTGTAAAATGTGTTTTGTTAGATCACACATAGTGAGTATACCTTGTACAATGTGTTTTGTTAGATCACACATAGTGAGTATACCTTGTAAAATGTGTTTTGTTAGATCACACATAGTGAGTACACCTTGTAAAATGTGTTTTGTTAGATCACACATAGTGAGTATACCTTGTAAAATGTGTTTTGTTAGATCACACATATTGAGTATACCTTGTAAAATGTGTTTTGTTAGATGACACATAGTGAGTATACCTTGTAAAATGTGTTTTGTTAGATCACACATAGTGAGTATACCTTGTAAAATGTGTTTTGTTAGATCACACATAGTGAGTATACCTTGTACAATGTGTTTTGTTAGATCACACATAGTGAGTACACCTTGTTACATGTGTTTTGTTAGATCACACATAGTGAGTATACCTTGTAAAATGTGTTTTGTTAGATCACACATAGTGAGTATACCTTGTAAAATGTGTTTTGTTAGATCACACATAGTGAGTATACCTTGTAAAATGTGTTTTGTTACATCACACATAGTGAGTATGCCTTGTACAATGTGTTTTGTTAGATCACACATAGTATGCCTTGTAAAATGTGTTTTGTTAGATCACATATATTGAGTATACCTTGTAAAATGTGTTTTGTTAGATGACACATAGTGAGTATACCTTGTAAAATGTGTTTTGTTAGATCACACATAGTGAGTATACCTTGTAAAATGTGTTTTGTTAGATCACACATAGTGAGTATACCTTGTACAATGTGTTTTGTTAGATCACACATAGTGAGTACACCTTGTTACATGTGTTTTGTTAGATCACACATAGTGAGTATACCTTGTAACATGTGTTTTGTTAGATCACACATAGTGAGTATACCTTGTAACATGTGTTTTGTTAGATCACACATAGTGAGTATACCTTGTAACATGTGTTTTGTTAGATCACACATAGTGAGTATACCTTGTAACATGTGTTTTGTTAGATCACACATAGTGAGTATACCTTGTAACATGTGTTTTGTTAGATCACACATAGTGAGTATACCTTGTAACATGTGTTTTGTTAGATCACACATAGTGAGTATACCTTGTAACATGTGTTTTGTTAGATCACACATAGTGAGTATACCTTGTAACATGTGTTTTGTTAGATCACACATAGTGAGTATGCCTTGTAACATGTGTTTTGTTAGATCACACATAGTGAGTATGCCTTGTAACATGTGTTTTGTTAGATCACACATAGTGAGTATACCTTGTAACATGTGTTTTGTTAGATCACACATAGTGAGTATACCTTGTAACATGTGTTTTGTTAGATCACACATAGTGAGTATACCTTGTAACATGTGTTTTGTTAGATCACACATAGTGAGTATACCTTGTAACATGTGTTTTGTTAGATCACACATAGTGTGTATACCTTGTAAAATGTGTTTTGTTAGATCACACATAGTGAGTATACCTTGTAAAATGTGTTTTGTTAGATGACACATATTGCGTATGGCTTGTAAAATGTGTTTTGTTAGATCACACATATTGCGTATGGCTTGTAAAATGTGTTTTGTTAGATGACACATATTGAGTATGCCTTGTAAAATGTGTTTTGTTAGATGACACATAGTGAGTATGCCTTGTAAAATGTGTTTTGTTAGATCACACATAGTGAGTATACCTTGTAACATGTGTTTTGTTAGATCACACGTAGTGAGTATGCCTTGTACAATGTGTTTTGTTAGATCAAACATAGTGAGTATGCCTTGTACAATGTGTTTTGTTAGATGACACACAGTGAGTATGCCTTGTAAAATATGTTTTGTTAGATCACATATAGTGTGTATACCTTGTAAAATGTGTTTTGTTAGATGACACACAGTGAGTATGCCTTGTAAAATGTGTTTTGTTAGATTACACATAGTGAGTATGCCTTGTACAATGTGTTTTGTTAGATCAAACATAGTGAGTATGCCTTGTAAAATGTGTTTTGTTACATCACACATAGTGAGTATGCCTTTTAAAATGTGTTTTGTTAGATCACACACAGTGAGTATGCCTTGTAAAATGTGTTTTGTTAGATCACACATAGTGAGTATGCCTTGTACAATGTGTTTTGTTAGATCACACAAAGTGAGTATGCCTTTTAAAATGTGTTTTGTTAGATGACACATATTGAGTATGCCTTGTAAAATGTGTTTTGTTAGATCACACACAGTGAGTATGCCTTGTACAATGTGTTTTGTTAGATGACACACAGTGAGTATGCCTTGCAAAATGTGTTTTGTTAGATCACACATAGTGAGTACACCTTGTAAAATGTGTTTTGTTAGATCACACATAGTGAGTATACCTTGTAAAATGTGTTTTGTTAGATCACACATATTGAGTATACCTTGTACAATGTGTTTTGTTAGATCACACATAGTGAGTATACCTTGTAAAATGTGTTTTGTTAGATCACACATAGTGAGTATACCTTGTACAATGTGTTTTGTTAGATCACACATAGTGAATATACCTTGTAAAATGTGTTTTGTTAGATCACACATAGTGAGTATACCTTGTAAAATGTGTTTTGTTAGATCACACATAGTGAGTATGCCTTGTAACATGTGTTTTGTTAGATCACACATAGTGAGTATACCTTGTAAAATGTGTTTTGTTAGATCACACATATTGAGTATACCTTGTAAAATGTGTTTTGTTAGATGACACATAGTGAGTATACCTTGTAAAATGTGTTTTGTTAGATCACACATAGTGAGTATACCTTGTAAAATGTGTTTTGTTAGATCACACATAGTGAGTATACCTTGTACAATGTGTTTGGTTAGATCACACATAGTGAGTACACCTTGTTACATGTGTTTTGTTAGATCACACATAGTGAGTATACCTTGTAAAATGTGTTTTGTTAGATCACACATAGTGAGTATACCTTGTAAAATGTGTTTTGTTAGATCACACATAGTGAGTATACCTTGTAAAATGTGTTTTGTTACATCACACATAGTGAGTATGCCTTGTACAATGTGTTTTGTTAGATCACACATAGTATGCCTTGTAAAATGTGTTTTGTTAGATCACATATAGTGTGTATACCTTGTAAAATATGTTTTGTTAGATCATACATAGTGAGTATACCTTGTAAAATGTGTTTATGCTCAGGTACTAATTAGATCAAACGTTATAACTTCAGACTTGTCCTATGTCACATTTAATAAATGGTTAGTATTTGGTTAATACTGTTAATATTAGTCCAATAAGGGTATGTTGTGTTCCCCGAATGCACAGAACGTCATTCAAAATATCAATCACTGGTAGCCTCGTTCAGATTCGGTTTTTCAAAGACTGCCGTCATATAGATGCCGCCAAAATATGTGACAACTATATTATAATGGTAAAATGACACAACGAAAGAGGGTGGTCGCCAAAATTTATGACAACTATATGGGAGGAGTTTGGGCACAAAATTGACCCAGTACTTATTTTATTGTAGGGATTGGTTATTTATTATAGGGATGGTGGGTCAATCTCAGCACCCACCCCCACCCACCACCCCCTCTTTGACAAATGACCACTCCGTAGTACAAGTATTACAAGACATCAAGCAATGCTTGTATTTTGTAATTAATTATGTCTGCAACTTGTTTCAGCCGTGGAATGTGATCGTCTACAAATCAGTGGCGATTATTTCACGAAAGACGGAAGCCGCGTGTTTCTGTCAGGTGTCAACCTAGCTTGGGTCGGTTATGCCACAGACTTTGGGAACAATCAATTCGCTACAAGGAAATCCAGTTATGAGAGATACTTCAAGGAGCTCCATGAATCAGGGGGCAACTCCATCCGTAAGTGCCTAGTATTTAGTCCTGGTTTTGGATATAACATGCACAGAAAATACTAGCTTACAAGCGTTTCAGTTGTTGAGGGGGGCACGGGTGGGCCAGTCGTCTAAGGCGCCGCGATTCGATGTGCAGAGGTGCGTCCCTTGGGCACGCCAGAAACCTATCGTTGTGGGTTTGAATCCCGGTTCGCCCCGATTATGTTTCTAGGTTTGTCAGCACGATACCCGTGCTCGTGGGTTTCACCGAAGTGGTAAACGTCTGAGACCTGCATCACTTCGGGCTTTCCTCCCACATTAAGCTGACACGCCGTGATATAACTGGAAAACTGTTAAAAGCGGGGTTAAACCCAACTCACTCACTCATTTACCTTTGAACATCATAGTTTAAGCAAGGATTATTACTGCTTCTGTGCGCGTTGATAAGGCCCTAGAGAGAGAGAGGGACTCTACTTTATGCAGAACTCACCATGTATACATACACACTGTATAATTTACATAACTATAATGTGCATTACCCACCCAATACGACTTATTCGTGTTAAAAAATAAACGACTTGTTGTCGTTGTTAATCGTACAATAAAACACTGCAGGGTCTGCATTTTTTCATATAACTGAAGTTCAAGGAACGCGGTTCAAATGACGGCACTGTTGTATTATTACTGTGATATTGTAGAAATATATTTGTGTTCCTATTGGTATACATATTTATGTCATGTAGGTACTCTCATGGTATGGTCACTTAGATCTGTGTGTATTTATGTTACGTCAGGTATATGCATGTTACGTCAAGCACATTCATCTTACGTCAGGTCTTACTTCAAATATATGCATCTTACTTCAGGTACATTCATCTTACTTCAAGTATATGCATCTACTTCAGGTATATGCATCTTTCAAGTTTGTGCATCTTACATCAGGTATATGCATCCTACTTCAAGTATATGCATCTTACTTCAAGTATATGCATCTTACTTCAGGTATATGCATCTACTTCAGGTATATGCATCTTACTTCAAGTATATGCTTCTACTTCAGGTATATGCATCTTACTTCAGATATATGCATCTTACTTCAGGTATATGCATATTACAAGTTTATGCATCTTACTTAAGATATATGCATCTTACTTCAGGTATATTCACCTTACTTCAAGTATATTCATCTTACTTCAGGTATATGCATCTTACTTCAGGTATATTCATCTTACTTCAGGTATATGCATCTTACTTCAGGTATATGCATCTTACTTGAGGTATATGCATCGTACTTTAAGGTATATGCATCGTACTTCAGATATATTCATCTTACTTCAGGTATATGTATCTTACTTCAGGTATATGCATCCTACTTCAAGTATATGTATCTTACTTCAAGTATATGTATCTTACTTCAAGTATATGTATCTTACTTCAGGTATATGCATCTTACTTCAAGTATATGTATCTTACTTCAGGTATATGCATCTTACTTCAAGTATATGTACCTTACTTCAGGTATATGCATCTTACTTCAAGTATATGTATCTTACTTCAGGTATATACATCTTACTTCAGGTATATTCACCTTACTTCAGATATATTCATCTTACTTCAGGTATATGCATCTTACTTCAGGTATATGCATCCTACTTCAAGTATAGTCATCTTACGTCAGGTATATGCATCTTACTTCAGGTATATGCATCGTACTTCAGATATATTCATCTTACTTCAGGTATATGCATCTTACTTCAAGTATATGTATCTTCCTTTAGGTATATGCATCTTACTTCAAGTATATGTATCTTACTTCAGGTATATGCATCTTACTTCAAGTATATGTATCTTACTTCAGGTATATGCATCTTACTTCAAGTATATGTACCTTACTTCAGGTATATGCATCTTACACATGTACTTCAAGTATATGTATCTTACTTCAGGTATATACATCTTACTTCAGGTATATTCACCTTACTTCAGATATATTCATCTTACTTCAGGTATATGCATCTTACTTCAGGTATATGCATCCTACTTCAAGTATAGTCATCTTACGTCAGGTATATGCATCTTACTTCAGGTATATGCATCGTACTTCAGATATATTCATCTTACTTCAGGTATATGCATCTTACTTCAAGTATATGTATCTTCCTTTAGGTATATGCATCTTACTTCAAGTATATGTATCTTACTTCAGGTATATGCATCTTACTTCAGGTATATGCATCTTACTTCAAGTATATGTATCTTACTTCAGGTATATGCATCTTACTTCAGGTATATGCATCTTACTTCAGGTATATGCATCTTACTTCAAGTATATGTATCTTACTTCAGGTATATGCATCTTACTTCAAGTATATGTATCTTACTTCAGGTATATGCATCTTACTTCAAGTATATGTATCTTACTTCAGGTATATGCATCTTACTTCAAGTATATGTATCTTACTTCAGGTATATGTATCTTACTTCAGGTATATGCATCTTACTTCAAGTATATGTATCTTACTTCAGGTATATGCATCTTACTTCAGGTATATTCGTGTTACGTCAGATATATTCTGTGTATTGTCAAGTTTTAGTGAGAAATATGTGTCAGTGTGTGTCGGCTAACAATACCGACAGTGGACCCACGTTTCCGAAGGCATATCCGTGCTGTTGCAGGTATATGGATACATGTGCAGGGCGAGACCAGTCCCCTCTTTGATGGAAACGGCTACGTGACCGGTTTAGACAGTTCTGGAACATTTCTCAGTGACATGAAGGAGCTGCTTGGTCTGGGCCAGAAATACAACATCCTCGTCTTCTTCTGCCTCTGGAACGGGGCCGTCAAGTTTGACAAGGAATACCGGATGGATGGGCTGATTCGGGATACCGGGAAACTCACGTCCTATCTCCAACACGCCCTCATCCCGTGGGTCAAGTCTGTGAAAGACAACCCTGCAGTCGGAGGCTGGGACATCATGAATGAACCCGAGGGCCTTATCAACACGCAGAGAAGCAGTAATAATCCTTGCTTAAACGCTACCCATCTCATACCGGATGGTGCCGGCTGGGCTGGGAGACTTTATAACTATGAAGACGTTCAAAGGTAAATGAGTGAGTGAGTTGTGTTTAACGCCGCTTTTAACAGTATTCCAGTTATATCACGGCGTGTCAGCTTAATGAGGGAGGAAAGCCCGAAGTGATGCTGGTCTTGGACGTTTAGCACTTCGGTGAAACCCACGAGCACGGTTTGGTGCTGACAAACCTAGAAACATAATCGTGTCGAACCGGGATTCGAACCCGCAATCATAGGTTTCTGGCGTGCCCAAGGGACGCAACTCTGCAGAGCGAATCGCGGCGCCTTAGACGACTGGGTCACCCGTGCCCCCTCAAAGGTAAATGTTTCAACATCAAGGCCCATATGCGGGGTTCATACATCACTGTTCTTGAATGGTGCTGTATATTGTTATCTTATCTTAGCAATCTTACAAAATGCAATTTATGTTGCTCATAGTTCCACACCGCACAGGGGCAAGCTCAAAGCGCTATTATCGCCCCTGTTACTGGGTCAGTGGCTACTCAACAATCATTCTCAGCTCCCTAGGGAGTATACACCCCAAGCTGCCATGTCTCATCCTACCGGGGACCCACTCACTGCTGGGTGAACAGAGGCTCATTTCTAACAAAGCCACTGGCCCAAGGAGACACCACCCGTGAAGATTCCGGGGTAGAATTGGTCTTCAGCAACCCATGCTTGCCGTAAAGTGTGACTATGCTTGTCGTAAAAGGCGACTAACGGGATCGGGTGGTCAGGCTCGCTGACTTGGTTGATGCATGTCATTGCGTGGATTGCGTGGATCGATGCTCATGATATTAATCACTGGATTGTCTGGTCCAGACTCGATTAGTTACAGACAGCCGTCATATAGCTGGAATATTGCTGAGTGCGGCGTTAAACAACAAACCAACCAACCAAGGAGACACCACGTGTGTTACATGTGATCCAGTGTGGGGCAGGATCGAAGCCCTAGAAACTCTCAGCAGACAAACTGCCGAAACGCGGTCACCCATCCAACGACTCTCCGCGACCGACGTTGGTTAAGCTCACCTGATTTGTGACCTGTGCGTTGTGCACAAGGCGACGTCATTATATCTATTCACGTAACGGCTTACATGTGACGGGATAGTGTTGTTGATTCTCTTGCATTGAGAATTTATATTTGTAAATAATCGAGTCTGGGCCAGGCAATCCAGGAATTGACATCAAGAGCTTCGATCTACGCAGTTAGGATACGATGACATGACTCAACCAAGTACAGTAAACTACGGTTATAACGAACTTAAAGGGACTGCTAAGTTTAGTTCTTTATAACCGTAGTTCGTTATAAGCATATATACAGCATTACTACAGCAAATAGTCGGGACCAAAAAAGTAAGTTCGTTATATCCGTCAGTTTGTCATAAGCGTGTTCGTTATAACCGTAGTTTACTCCTTGCGATCCCGTAAGTCGCCTCTTGTGGCAAGCATGGGTTGCTGAAGACTATGTCTATCCCAGATCTTCACAGCGGACATGGTTATGATGACAGTGAGATACATTTACTCAATGTTGACATGCACAGGTTCATCAACTGGCAGGTTGACGCTATCAGACAAACAGACCCCGGTGCTCTTGTGACGTTGGGGTCATGGAAAGCACAGGTCAATACGGACGAATATGGCTCGCACAACCACTACTCGGATCACTGTCTGACACAGGCGGGAGGCAAGGCACAGGTCGGATATGCATATTATTAGCTATGGTGTCGAGGCGTCAGCCGAGCACAATATTTTTCTGCTAATCTAACATGATACTGTATGCGGCAACTGAAGACACCATTACGAAATTATGCCGAACCGTTTAAACTGGTATCCATATCGCACATGTCAAATAAATACTTAACACTTACTACCGTTTACGTCAGGGTCAAAGGGAGACTACTCTTCAAACCTTAGAGGATTTTGACTGACGGTTCACGGTCTCATGTGGGGTTAGTTCTGCTCTCTGATTTGTCAATCTCACTTTGAGGCATAATAACCTATGTTATAGTTGTTTTGGTAGAGGCTTTATACGACGCTATGTCATTTGTAGCTCACATCCTGGTATCGGATCTGGAGACCAACCTTTGGTGAGCGCCCGATACACAGCCAGTTACAGTAGATGTAGCATATTACTTAAAGATAATTTTGGTTCATTATGTAATGCCGCCCTCTGCAATATTTAAGCTATATGACGGCATCCAGACAATCCAGTGACTGATATCATGAAAAACGATACACGCCGTCGGGGTACCATCACACCGTCAACCACATCACCGAACTCATCTTCCCGAGGCAAGGGTGTTAACTGACTATTAAAGTCCAGTTTCTACCCAAGCCGAACTAGGCTGGAATTCCAAAGTTATATATTGGCTGGATTAATGAGTCTATGCACAGTCCAATCAAAATCGCGTATAGAAAACGACATCCGGTTCGTAAACGGTCGATTAGAGTGTTTGCAAAGCATGTGTACCTTCAAATTAGCGTCAACAGATAGTTGAAAAATCTTTCCATGTTTTTAATCAAGGTGTTCACTTGATCTGATGCACTTCGCGAAGTAAGACCCGTTTTATGAATGTATAAATCGTGATTATCGGTCAGATCTTCTTGGCTTGGAAGCAAAAGCAAGTGATGTGAGAGGCGAAATCTGATTGGTCAGTAGGGGGGACATGAAAGGGACATAACTCGTTATAGCCACTGGTGGCGCTACGATCGAGCCAAGAAATTCCAGCCTTTGGAGAAAACGACTTTCACAGTCAGGTAACTCCCTTGAATCGGGAAGATGCACCGAACTTGACCACGGGATCCGTTTAGTCCCCTCTTACGACAGCATAGGTCGAGACCTGCTCTAACCCGGAATACCTACTGGGCTGAACTGAAACAACCAATACACCTGTGTATGACGTACGTGTCTGTACACTGAAATTTTTCTTGTTTCAGGGAGTGCTGCAATTCTACACATTACACTCATATGGCAAACACTTCGACAACCTCTCACCATTCAAGGTAACTTGTATTAGTCCTGTACTATTTCCAGAGTCACCATCTTCAATTTAGACATAGACCCGTGAAGATTCCGGGGTAGAATAGGTCTTCGGCAACCCATGCTTGCCGTAAAAGGTGACTATGCTTGTCGTAAAAGGCGACTAACGGGATCGGGTGGTCAGGCTCGCTGACTTGGTTGATGTATGTCATCGATCCCAATTGCGTGGATCGATGCTCATGATATTAATCACTGGATTGTCTGGTCCAGACTCGATTATTTACAGACCGCCGTCATATAGCTTGAATATTGCTGAGTGCGGCGTTGAACAACAAACCAACCAACCAACTAGGTCGATGGTGAGTGAGTTGATCCTTCCATTCATCACTGTGTTCATCAGTTGTGTACGTCACAGTTTTCACAATTGTATTGACCACGGTGTCCACCTTGGAGTACACTACTTCCTATTTCCCCAGCACCAAAAGAGTGACTACAAGCTGAACAAGCCGCTGATGGTGGGTGAGTTTGCCTCCAAGAATGGCGGCGGGATGGCCATCGAGTCCATGTTCCAGTATGCTTATAACCATGGTTACTGTGGAGCCTGGAGCTGGTCTGCAACCGATAACTATGAAGGGGATGCGTGGGAGACTCAGAAGAGAGGAGTGGCGTCAATCAGAAACAACAGCGATGCATCCAAGGGAACGGTTCATTTCACTCTGTAATGTGTGGAATAAAATCAAACATTCAAAACGAAATGGTGTTGACTCTGTTCCTGGTAGCCTACACATAATATCACATGCGAGAATGCGAGAAAATATGATTTGTGTTTTTTAGTAGGTGAGTGCGCTTCCTGGCAAGCTGTGCTCTGTCGATGTGTTCCCGAGTACAATGACGGACGTGAATGTGTTCCAATAGAAAAATGACAGAAGTTAATGCGTGTCACAACGGAGTTACAACGAAGCCCATTAAAACGTAATGATTTACCCACCCCGAAACACTCTCTCTCTCTCTCTCTCTCTCTCTCTCTCTCTCTCTCTCTCTCTCTCTCTAGTGGTTAAAGCGTTCACTCGTCACGCCGAAGACCGGGGTTTGATTCCCGACATGGGTAGAATGTGTGAAGCCCATTTCGGGTGTCCCCCGCACATGGTATTGCTGGAATATTGCTAAAACCGTACTCACTCACTCACTTTCTCTTTCACGGGCATTATCATCTTGAAAGATGAAACGTTGCCCAACACATTGTGGAAATAGCATCACGAGTAATGCAATGATGTTGTCCCATTACTATTGATCTGGGACTCTGCCATGGACAATATGGAGCGCAGTTCGGCCATTGTGATACCACCACATAACATTATTGACCCACCCCTCAACATCCATAAAACGATCCTAAGGACGTCTCCAACCACGATTCCTTCGGTCATGGACTGAGTGTTTTGTTTCTTTGTTGTTTAACGCCGCACTCAGAAATAGCCCAGCTATATGACGGCGGTCTGTAAATAATCGAGTCTGGACCAGACAAGCCAGTGATTGATATCATGAGCATCCATCCACGCATTTGGGATGCAATGACATGCATCAACCAAGTCAGCGAGCCTGACCACCCGATGGTGTTAGTCGCCGCTTACGACAAGCATAGTCGCCGTAGAGTGAGTGGGTTGGATTTAACGCCGCTTTTAAAAGTATTCCAGTTATATCACGGAGTGTCAGCTTGATGTGGGAGGAAAGCCCGAAGTGATGCAGGTTTCAGACGTTTACCACTTCGATGAAGCCCACGAGCACGGGTATGGTGCTGACAAACATGGAAACATAATAGCGGCGAACCAGGAGCCGCAACTCTGCACAGCGAATTGCGGCGCCTTAGACGACTGGGTCATCCGTCTTCACCCCCTCCCCTTCGGTCTTGCAGGTCGAGACTGAACACTAAGATTCGTCAGGAATCATGACATAAGCCCAACGTCGGTTAGCCCCGTGCTGACGTTCCCTACACCACTGACGCCTCTGATTCAAATGACGTGCAGTAAGTTGTGTGGTGACTCGTTGACGTCGTGCACGAAAATGCCATCTGTGCAGGCTATTTTGCACCGTCTGGGCATTTAATATTACACCAGATGCCTGTCGCAACCGGTTCCTTATCTGAGTGACAGTTTTCAACCGATTTCACCATGCTATCGTCCTGACTTATCTGTCCCGGGCTGGACTTGTTGCCCATTAACGTTACGTGTTTGTTTGTATCGGGCCTACAATCTGCCAATAACAGCTTGAGAAACATGCAGCGTTTGGGCAACACTATTCTGATGTGTGCCCACCTTCAATATGCCTATGGCACATAACACCTTCAACACGTTGCTAACTTCGTATGATCAATGGCGTTGCTTCCTTAATGATTAAATGTGTTTAATAAACGGTCTTTGAGCGTTGGTTTCAAGAAAACAAGATGCTTCTGCTCAAAGTCGAGTCTGAGTGACAGTGGTAAATCTGGCATACCACCCCTTGCACGTTCTGTCCGAGGTCACGTGCTTCATGACTGCGACAGTGTTGTGTTTGGGAGCTTGATTTCTTCGAAAATGTTCTTGCCACAAAGAGTCACTTACTTTCATTGGGAGACATTGGTGTATTTTCCTGCAGTTTTACCTCAAAACAAAACATCAGTTATACGTTTGCACAGTACAAATATCCATGCATCTGCTTAAGCTCGCTACATTGTCACTACACATTAATACATGGAGTTATCGGTGCTTCCGCACTCGTACACTCGGTTTGGTCATTCGTGACCAAATATCCGGGACAATCCGAAAAGCGACTCGTACCTCTCTCTCGGCCATTTTTTACGACTGGGTTCCGTCTAGGCGCAAACGGGCATAGCTAAAAGAATTGTCAACTCGTTGCGTAATAATTTACGTATATTCCCCCCATATATCGAATATATTCTAGAAGCTATTTAAAACACCTCGGGTCTTACGGTATTATACAGTATGATTAAACATATTTAAATGTATCTTGGGTATAATTTTAGATGTTAAACATATATATACATAAACATATTCCTGAGAGATTCTTTGACCGAAGTACTTGAAGTCATACGCGCATTCTGATGGGATTGTCGTATTTTCGCACAAAACATTCATCGATGGGGGGACGAGTCTTCTTGCAGGTTACGGAAAGGGGCGAGTGGGTACGAATGTGGGTTGGGCATCCGCTGTTTCTCGGGTGTGTTCGGGTTTGATCGAGCCACGTGACTAACCTTCCCGCCAAATCAGACAGGTGACATTTCGAGACTGACAAACCCATCGGAGCCCCTCGGGTCCAGTTCACGCTAAAAGGTAAGCACTCTCCCCAAGTCACTACTGGCCTTCGCTTCAATGGTGCTCTGAAGTTAGTGTGAACAGATCAAGTTTATTTTTATAATTAAGAGAAAATTAATTTATCATATAATAAAAGGAAAGGGCATATGAATGGGTCACGTGATGTCCTTGTTTCGAGCAATACTGACATTTTTTCATTGTTTTTTTTTACAGGTATCCAAAAGCTCTTTGGTTTTGTATTTATCCCGTTTCGGCCGTAAACAAATCAACGTAATGTAAAAAGCATGGTTATATTAAAGAGTGTTGGCGTGTCCCCTATCCATGTGCTTGGAATACGTGTAATCGCAATATCAACCGCTGAAAGCTGCATACCTCGCACCCGGCGTATTGCATGTATATTTCATGGTGTTGATTGCAACGCTGCGATGTATATAGCAATCAATCACTGTGACCAGTTGCATGGTCACGCCCCACCAACGCGCCCTGGCATTGTGTCGTTTGCAGTTGATATGAATTCTGTCAGGATATTTATAAATGTGTTGTTTTATTATTATGTATACATTCATACTATTTTTATTGCATATATTATTTATTTACATTGATTCACATTAAATAGTGGGTATGTTTTAAAAGGCTTATTCATTGATGAAGGGGTTTGTAGATATTACTACCATGACATTGAGGAATAATTATTCTGATTGGTTAAAAAGAGATATCCTTTTTTTCCCACTGATACCGCTTTTAAATTAAGCCTTTTAACACACAAAAAAAACGTGCGTATGAAAGGATTGATCTATCGACAGCCTCATCGATGCATATAACAATGGCTGCTGATAACCCATTATAATATTAAGTAAGACGAGTTCTATGGATGAACAACTTCTTATTACAATTAGTGCGACGTTTCGGTTTAGATCCTAACACCTTTATCAAGCAAGTGACTTGCTTGACATCACTTGCTTGATAAAGGTGTTAGGATCTACACCGAAACGTCGCACTAATTGTAATAAGAAGTTGTTCATCCATAGAACTCGTCTTACTTCATCACTCCAACTTCTAAATGCCACTCAAAGACATTATAATATTGTATACGTTGGATTACCGAACAACATCTTCTCATAAGGAAGGGAATATATGGATGTCTACTTCTTTATTATGAGGAACACAACGTTTCGGAGTATATGCTTACTCCTTCATTCACCTGATTTTTCCTCATAATAAAGTGAGTGAGTGAGTTGGGTTTAACGCCGCTTTTAAAAATATTCCAGTTATATCACGGCGTGTCAGCTTAATGTGGGAGAAAAGCCCGAAGTGATGCAGGTCTTAGACTAGTAACTTCGGTGAAACCCACGAGCACGGGTATGGTGCTGACAAACCTAGAAACATAATTGGGGCGAACCGGGATTCGAACCCACAATCATAAGTTTCTGGCGTTCCCAAGGGACGCAACTCTGTACAGCGAATCGCGGCGCCTTAGAAGACTGGGCTACCCGTGCCCCCCCCCCCCCCCCCCCGCCTCATAATAACATCCATGTATTCTCTTCCTTATGTAATCACTTCCAAATGCCTGTCAAAGCCTTATCAAACATAAATCTATGTCAGAACAAACACAATTAAGTAAAACACACACTAACCACTGTGAAAGGACCACACAATCATTGACCACAACAATGAGCTGTTTCTCTCGTGTCGTCGACGGCAGCTTAAGGTTCAGCCCGAAAGAAGTTCGGGGTAGAGAGATAGGTACTGTCGGTGACGGGGGGATGGGGATGGGGATGGGGATGGGGTGTTTTGTTATATTTCAAAGCAACTGCTACATGAGTTCAAGTATATAACAATATACTGTTGGTTCAGTTATTTTATTGCCTTTGAACTTCCCTAATGCCAGTCAACAGAGTAAACATATAAACTGTGTGTTGTTTTTAGGAAAGCACTGTTTATTGTCTATTCAGTGCTAATAAGCGGTGCTAATTGCTGTTTGATTGGATTAATGTAAGTATATGTATCAGCAGTTGTATTAATGTTGAGACGCATTTTTTACAGTATGTTGTTTTTAGAAATGAAATGTACTGAAAAATTGCGAAAGCCGTGACACGGCAGATCGGGACTGACCCTGAATGATTCGTAAGAACTGTCACACTTGTGTGTCTCATTAATTTCCGTTTGGGAATATTTGAAATGCGTTAAGTTTTTGTTTATACTTCCTGTCAATATTGCAGTCACTACCCGGTAATTAATCAGTGAAACCCCATTATCGTGTTTCTTTTTTCAGAAGTAATGTGTACGGAGTGAATCATCGAACCCGGAAATATTATGTGAGAACGGGGCGCAGCCACATTGGAACCTTGCCTTCATGAAGATGGCAAACGGAACATATTCCGAGGCAAATATTTCTGCCATTTTGGAAAGATCGAACGTTGAATATGCTGGAAAGATGCTTCCGGTCATAACGTTTGTGTCGGTGGTGATGTGCCTAGGTGCCTGTGGAAACATTGTTGTGTTCAGCGTGTATTCCTGTGCTCGACGCAAGAGCGTAACGAACCTATTCGTCGCAACGCTGGCTGTCTTGGACCTTATGAACTGTTTATTAAGCATTCCTTCAGAGATAATGCATCTACGATTTAAGTACACCCTTGGCGATTACATCTTTTGGTGTAAAGGTACCAGAGTGTTGGCTGCTTTCACAACCATTTCCCCTTGTGGTCTATTGATAGTAATTGCAATAGATCGCTACAAACAGATCTGTCAACCTTTCAAACACCAAACAACTCTACCACTAGCACGATCAGCTATAGGCATATGTTGCCTATTGACCATATGTATTGCCATACCTGCTTGGTTCCTGAACGGGAAGAGAACAGTTGTTGTAAATGCGATCCGAAGATCCGAATGTACCATCTCCGATGAGCATACAGATGGCCTATTTCCGATTTGTTACAATTCCGTGTTATTTTCTCTCTACCTTGGTGGGTGTGCAGTGTTAATTGTGTTTTACACGCTAATATGGAAACGACTTCAAATTCAGCAGAAATTCAGAAGAGCATTAGGAAGAAGTTTTAAGCGTATAAGATATTCTAAGGCAAAAACGGTTCAAACAGGAAGCACCGCTGATCGAGGTAAAGGAATCGTCATCGTCGATGTCGCAACCGTCCCCAACGATGGAGACATTGTTACCAGTATCATCGTCTGTATCCTCATCGTCCATTACCCCAACGATGGAGACATTGTTACCAGTATCATCGTCTGTATCCTCATCGTCCATTACCCCAACGATGGAGACATTGTTACCAGTATCATCGTCTGTATCCTCATCGTCCATTACCCCAACGATGGAGACATTGTTACCAGTATCATCGTCTGTATCCTCATCGTCCATTACCTCAACGAATTCTAAGGTATGTATGAGATACAGGGAATAGTAAGAGGAGAGGTGAAATTGGGTTTAACGTCGCGTCCAAGATTATTGCACTTATATAGCGACATGCATGTACGTGTGTGTGTTTGTGTGGCTGCTTGTACTAGTCCGGAGTGATGCCGATTTATAGTGCTGGCTCACGGAGATGCCATGCCGCAGTTTAACATGAATATCCCACTCACACACAGTATACTGACTCCGAGCCGTCCAGTCCTTGTTTTAGCCCCTAAATGCCGAGCGCCAGACAGGGTAACAACAAGTACCATCTTTTAACGTCTTTTGGTATGACGCGGCCGGGTATCGAACCCCGGACCTTCCGCTTTCCGGGCGGACGCTCTACCACTAGACCACGGAGGCGGTCGGGAATAGTAAGAGCTTTGAGCACTGAGTATTGAAGAATGACAAACTGCACATTCTCTTCATGTTGAAAAGAGAACAATATTTCTGAATGAGATCAGTAATGTTATATTTTATGTCCCTTCTTAACACATCTTACATGTAGTTGTCTATTACAGGTAAGGTCAATTTGAGATTGTTTGTTGTCTTAATTTCACAAGTTTTAATGTTTAATTGAGTGTGCTTTTCTACAAAGAAGATTCCTAGAGAGTCATACGACTCAGAGGTTGATTGCTCAGTTAACTACTGCACTCTAAGCCTTATAAGGGAAACTTCAAAAGGTATTATTGTAGACATGTGGGGGCATTTCAAAATATGGGGTGGGGGGAATTTCGAATTTGATTTGTACCATGCGTTCCTGTGTTTGTTCAGATAAACCCAGTCGATGCAATTCGCTATGCAGAGTTGCGTCCCTTAGACACGCCAGGAACCTGTGGTCGTGGGTTCGTATCCCGGTTCGCCTCATTTATGTTTCTAGGTTTGTCAGCACCGTACCCGTGCTCGTGGGTTTCACCTAAGTGGTAAACGTCTGAGACCTGCATCACTTCGGGCTTTCCTCCCACATCAAGCTGACATGCCGCGATATAACTGAAATACTGTTAAAAAACGGCGTTAAACCGGCAAACTCAGCCAATCACTCCAATTACAACATGATTCTGTGATTCAACTGGCAAGGGGCAGACATACATGGACTGCAACTCACGCGATAACGGGACTCCGGTGAACTTTTGGTATCAGAGGGCCGCGGTGTTGAACGATTTTAAATCCCAACAAGACAGTCGGGGAGATGACCCATAAGTGTTGCCTGCCCATCTTCAAAGTTACCTGCCCGCATTTAACATTATAAATATTGAAAATTGCGTCTTGATTCAGTTGAATTAATGCAAACAATCACTCGAGAATCTACAAGAAGTTACAATAAAACCGAATACGTAAATAGTCTTAAAATTATTTGCAAGACTGTCGGGCAGGTGGAGGAAAATTTCATGCAGCCCGACCGAAAAGTTACCTGCCGCTGGCAGGCGGGCAGGCAGTTATTTCGTACACTGGACGGCCGACGAATGTTTGTGCTTCACCTCCACAGAGAACCTGTTAGTGTTGACCTAGGTATTTTAGACTACAACCAGGCCTATATTGCACATAGAAATCTCACATACTGACAATGCACGACAGGTGACAAAAATCCTCTCGTCACTGTTCCTCAATGAATACGTTGTTCTTGCAGCATGAGCAACGCCTAGAACACACCGATCTGAAGACTGTTCCCAAACCAAAGACTCCGGTGAAGACAAAGGCTGGGGCACCTGTTGTTACCAAGACAACTCTTGTTATGTTCCTCATAGCGGTTGTCTTCATCTTCAGTTTCCTTCCGTATCTGATAATAGCGACGCTGAAATATGTCAATAGACATGCATGGCGTCAAGTTGGAGATGTGAAGTCTGTAGTTTACCAATTCTTCCTCAAGTTTCATTATGTGAACAGTGCGTGTAATCCCATCGTGTACAGCTTCTGTGGCCGGCGGTTCCGACAGGACTTCAGACAGTTTCGTAGAGATATGGCTTATAAACTGCAATGTTGGATAAAGCAGCGTGACCGGAGGTGAGAAGTTCTCCACGAGAACAATGTGTGATTGCATTGATATCATTCTGGTGGAACAATGTCATGTGACGTATAGTGCGAAACGAGAATAATGTGTGGTTGTATTGATATCCTTCTGGTGGAACAATGTCATGTGATGTATAGTGTTCCACGAGAACAATGTATGATTGTATTGATATCCTTCTGGTGGAACAATGTCATGTGACGTACAGTGTTCCACGAGAACAATGTGTGATTGTATTGCTATCCTTCTGGTGGAACAATGTCATGTGATGTATAGTGTTCCACGAGAACAATGTGTGATTGTATTGATATCCTTCTGGTGGAACAATGTCATGTGATGTATAGTGTTCCACGAGAACAATGTGTGATTGTATTGATATCCTTCTGGTGGAACAATGTCATGTGACGTACAGTGTTCCACGAGAACAATGTGTGATTGTATTGATATCCTTCTGGTGGAACAATGTCATGTGATGTATAGTGTTCCACGAGAACAAGGTGTGATTGTATTGATATCCTTCTGGTGGAACAATGTCATGTGATGTACAGTGTTCCACGAGAACAAGGTGTGATTGTATTGATATCCTTCTGGTGGAACAATGTCATGTGATGTATAGTGTTCCACGAGAACAATGTGTGATTGTATTGATATCATTCTGGTGGAACAATGTCATGTGACGAACAGTGCTCCACGAGAACAATATGTGATTGTATTGATAGCATTCTGGTGGAACAATGTCATGTGACGTAAAGTGCTCCGAGAGAACAATGTGTGATTGTATTGATAGCATTCTGGTGGAACAATGTCATGTGACGTACAGTGCTCCACGAGAACAATGTGTGATTGTATTGATATCCTTCTGGTGGAACAATGTCATGTGATGTACAGTGTTCCACGAGAACAATGTGTGATTGTATTGATATCCTTCTGGTGGAACAATGTCATGTGACGTACAGTGCTCCACGAGAACAATTTGTGCTTGCATCGATATCATTCTGGCGGAACAATGCTATGTGATGCAAAGTGCTTCATGAGAACAATGTGTGATTGTATTGATATCATTCTGGTGGAACAATGTCATGTGACGTACAGTGTTCCACAAGAACAATGTGTGATTGTATTGATATCCTTCTGGTGGAACAATGTCATGTGATGTATAGTGTTCCACGAGAACAATGTGTGATTGTATTGATATCCTTCTGGTGGAACAATGTCATGTGACGTACAGTGCTCCACGAGAACAATTTGTGCTTGCATCGATATCATTCTGGCGGAACAATGCTATGTGATGCAAAGTGCTTCATGAGAACAATGTGTGATTGTATTGATATCATTCTGGTGGAACAATGTCATGTGACGTATAGTGCCACACGAGAACAATGTGTGATTGTATTGATATTATTCTGGTGGAACAATGTCATGTGACGTATAGTGCTCCACGAGAACAGTGTGTGGTTGTATTGATATCATTCTGGTCGAACAATGTCATGTGACGCACTGTGCTTCATGAGAACAATGTGTGATTGTATTGATATCATTCTGGTTGAACAATGTCATGTGATGTATAGTGCCACACGAGAACAATGTGTGATTGTATTGATATCATTCTGGTGGAACAATGTCATGTGACGTATAGTGCCACACGAGAACAATGTGTGATTGTATTGATAACCTTCTGATGGAACAATGTCATGTGATGTATAGTGCCACACGAGAACAATGTGTGATTGTATCGATACATCATTCTGGTGGTACAATGTCATGTGACATACAGTGATACACGAGAACAATTTGTGCTTGCATCGATATCATTCTGGCGGAACAATGCTATGTGATGCAAAGTGCTTCATGAGAACAATGTGTGATTGTATTGATATCATTCTGGTGGAACAATGCTATGTGATGCACAGTGCTTCATGAGAACAATTTGTGATTGTATTGATATCATTATGGTGGAACAATGCTATGTGATGCACAGTGCTTCATGAGAACAATGTGTGATTGTATTGATATCATTCTGGTGGAACAATGTCACGTGATGCACAGTGCTTCATGAGAACAATGTGTGATTGTATTGATATTAGTATATCATTCTGTTGGAACAATGTCACGTGATGCAGTGCTACACGAGAACAATGTGTGATTGTATTGATATCATTCTGGTGGAACAATGTCATGTGACATACAGTGATACGGAAGAACAATTTGTGCTTGTATCGATATCATTCTGGCGGAACAATGCTATGTGATGCAAAGTGCTTCATGAGAACAATAGGTGATTGTATTGATATCTTACCGGTAGAACAATGCTATCTGATGCACAGTGCTTTATGAGAACAATGTGTGATTGTATTGATATCATTATGGTGGAACAATGTCACGCGATGCACAGTACTACACGAGAACAATTTGTGACTGTATTGATTTCATTATGGTGGAACAATGTCACGCGATGCACTGTACTACACGAGAACAATGTGTGATTGTATTGATATCATTCTGGTGGAACAATGTCATGTGACGCATAGTGCTTCACGAGAACAATGTGATTGTTTTGATTCCATTCTGGTGGAATATGTCTTGTGGCGCACTGTGCTACACGAGAACAATGTGTGATTGTATTGATATATCAATCTGGAGAAACAATGTCACGTGACGCACTGCGCTACACGAGACGAATGTGTGATTGTATTGATATATTATGTCGACCTGTGAAGATACGGGGTAGAATAGGTCTTCCGCAACCCATGCTTGCCGTAAAAGGCGACTGTGCTTGTCTAAGAGGCGACTAACGGTGGGTGGTCAGGCTCGCTGACTTGGTTGATGCATGTCATCGTATCCCATTTGCGAGGATCGATGCTCATTATGTCAATCAGTGGATTGTCTGGTCCAGACTCGATTATTTACAAACCGCCGTTATATAGCTGGAATATTGCTGAGTGCGGCGTTAAACAACAAACAATAATTATTATATTAATATATTCTGTCAAAATAATGTCATGTGACATACAGTGCTAAACGAGAACGGTGTGTGATTGTATCTATTTATCATTCTGGTGGTACAATGTCATGTGACATGTAGTGCTACACGAGACCAATGTGTGATTGTATTTATATATTCTGTCGATACAATGCCATGTGACGCACAGTGCTACACGAGGACATTGGTGATTGTGTATATATACCATTCTGTCGATACAATGTCAATACAAAGTTTGTAGGACAATGTAGTTTCACACCATGGCCACATGAGGTGGCATCGATTCACATGTTGGGGGTGCAATCTGGATAAGAGGTCAGTTATAAAAAGAAAAATTAAAAACAAACCTGTATTCAAACTCACCCGAGTGGAGATTGCTGCTGTGCATCAATTGTTTCCCGCCATATAATATCATATGCAGAGGAAGGAAGTGTAAGCAATAGGAGGAAGGGATTGGTGTAAAGTACATTCGTTGTTATTAATGTAGTTATCTTTGGAAAGTACGATAGAGGAAACACTGTCTTTAAATGGTCCGCACAAGGAAAACCCAAGGCTAAAAAACACATAACTGTGCCTTTCGGGCAGACCTAGTCTGTCTTACAGACCCTGATACAAATATATATCAAATACAGCCCATGCAAGTCTATAATGTTTGGCAAGTCTAGATCACTGCAGTATCTGAAAATGAAGAGAGTCACTGGGCTCCTTTTTATTATATTTTTATTAAGATAACTGAACAACTGTTTTTTTATGTACGATATGTTCATTTCAGAGATTAGATTTTAGTCTAGGGCAGACCTTGATATATACCCACTATTGGTTTCAATAATATAATTAAAAATAATTGATTACAAGTCCTATATAGATAACACAACAAATTTCATTCTTAAACATGCTTTTGTAGCATATATCCATCTTTCTGATAAAAAAGTTGGCTGGGCTAAATAAAACAAACTTTTGAATTAGTAAACACAAATAATGTTATGAATCCACTGGAAATAAACATCAGTCCCAATGTAAAAATATGTTCACGCATTCACGAAGGGATTTAACAGCAAGTTAGGAACATACAGGTTGGTCAAGGCATCTATAAATATTGAGAAGTATCTTACATATTGTAAAAACAAAGTTAATAGGTCACATTTCTCAAATCTTCGTTTAAGTAATCACAAACTAAAACTGGAAACTGGTAGATATACAAAAATACCGACCCCACTGGAACAACGTCTCTGTGAAACATGAGATGTCTTAGAAGACGAGCAACATTATGCACAGTTGTATAAATTACAACAAAAAAGAGAATCACTACTACAAATAATCCTCAATCATGATTAAGAATTTGGTACACTCTGTTAAAAGGACCAATTCTTAATAATTTTACCAACAGTTATCCAGAAACAATTTCCAAGATCTGTTATCATATCGACAATTATATAACAAATTGCTTGTATGTACAACATTACCATAATTTTGCTCAATTCTCATATTGTTCCCATATCATTATAATACACTTGTTTTAAAATAAAATTGTTAGAACGAACTTCCTTTGTATGTTGAATGTACCTGTGTGCTTTGGACTTACTGTGCATATATTTTGTGGTTTGTGATAGTGTAATACTGCCACTGTTTCTCCATGGAATGTTACGCAATACATATCTAATCTAAAACATCTACATTGTATGATGGTTAGTTAAAGTTGTGTACGGGGGCACTGTTGGTCCAGTCGCCTAAGGCGCTGCAATTCGTTATGCAGAGTTGTGTCCCTTGGACACTCCAACCCATGACAGTGCATGTGTTCGAATCCCGGTTCGCTCCGATTATGTTTCAAGGTTTGTCAGCACCATACCCGTGCTCGTGGGTTTCACGAGTCGTTCTGTGTTTGTTTATTTTATTAACATTAAAAGGTAATCTAGATTGCGAAAAGTATGGCCCATTCACGATAACGCACTTTCCATAAACAAATACGCAGCCATTTTACAAAGGTGTAAATAGCAAACATTGCAATTACATCTGTGGAAAAAGTATAATCAAATATTTTTAAAAATAAATAAATTAGCGCTATGATAAATAGTGTGTACCAATCACCTGTTGGGAGATTGTTAATGGTAAAACATCCAATATGAAATACGAGATGTCTCTGAGCATATATTGTACTAAATAAAAATGTAAACTGATATTCTTTTGTTGGCAAGATGTATTTTTGCACACTTTTTAGTTGAATGGCCATCACGTAACTATGCAAGATGGATAGGGTGTAGTATTGCATGGTACTGACACGTGCCCGATGTGAACGCCAGTCTACGAATCAAGTTCAGCCATATAATGTCCCTCTTGACCTTTGTCAAACAAATAAGACTAAAGATAGTCTTAACAAATACATTTTAATAAAAAGACTCCACGTATACAACCAAAATACCACACCATGAATACATTAACAATGCATGTATTTCCTATTCAGTTACTCATAAGCCCCCGTGGACTTTTAAAAAATGCGACTTGGCGCCGTTCAATTATACGTGTTGCCGCACTGTACGACTCCGACGAATAACTGTCATATGGTTTAGTTAACTGTTGTGCACACAATGTAACAGCTTGTGATAATTCTTATTCTACCATGAATTTGGAATTTACTCGATTCTGATTGGTCAATCGGAGGCTATTAAATCACAATAAACCCCCTCTGATTGAAACAGCTGGTTTGACGGCCGCATCACCGCGGAAGCTAATATTCATAGAATAGTACTATTTTCAGTCATTGTCGGTAAGCATATTTAAATAACTATATCTACAATTACAGGTTACAAAATGCACAGATGCGCGTTCGGTTCCAAATTCAATTTAGCGGGGTTAAATCTTCAGGTAACCTAGCTCTACATTGAAAACACAGTATGTTTATCTCCTTATTGAAAATAGGTAAACATTAAAGCAGGATCAAAAAGAAAAAATCGAAACTTAAACCAGGAGAACATCCGTGTGGTTGAAAGATAAATGTCGATAAACATTTCAATAAAATGTGTATATAAGAGTTGTATGATATGATCACATACGTTTGTCTTTCAATAGGTGTGGTCATCTAGTTTATATGTAGATCCAAATGAAGGCTATATCTAAAAGCGAAATGTCCCCGACAAGTGTGACAAACATGAACGATTACCCACAAAGCATGATATATAATATCTATCAATGATAGAACGTTCATTATAGATATGGGAGCGGTCGGGTAGCCTAGTGGTTCAAGCGTTCTCTCGTCACGCCGAAGACCCGGGTTCGATTCCAGACATGGGTACAATGTGTGAAGCTCATTTCTGGTGTCCCCGCCGTGATATTGCTCGAATATTGCTAAAAGCGGCGTAAAACCATACTCACTCACTCACTCACTCAATATAGATATGAGTTCAAATTGCTTTTAAAATGCTCGAATCCACTTAATCCACGCATGCCACATTTGAACCCTGACACCTGACATCCGACTGTTATTGAGGACTGCAAAGACAATCCCTTAGTCAATGCGTGCAGCGTCCCGGCGATGAACGTGTCCCCAGCTCCCAGAGTGTCCACCACATGGTCAAGCTTCAGAGCTGGAGAGGTAACGGTTCCTGACGTCGGCTCTTTGCCAGCTGCCCCGCATTCGCCCCACGCACATATAACGGCTTTTCTGAAATAAGGAAGAGAACTGACCTGATGAAGGTGTAAGCATATACTCCGAAGCCTTGTGTTCCTTAAAACGAAGAGGTTGGCATCCACACATTCTCTTCCTTATGTGTGTCACTTCTAAATGCCTTTTCTGAGACTTATTCGTAAGAGGCGACTAACGGGATCGCGTTGTCAGGCTCGCTGACTTGATGATGATTGTCATCGTATCCCAATTTCGTAGATCGATGCTCATGATGTCAATCACTGGATTGTCTGGTCCAGACTCGATTACTTATAGACCACCGTCACATAGCTGAAATATTGCTGAGTGCGGCGTTAAACAACCAATCAAAGACATATTCTGAAATAAAGTGCATTTTTCCTGATGACACCTTTTGTTGGATCATCGAGGTCGGACGGTGTTTGGCTTACGGATTTCGATAGAGAAAAAAAGGATCGAAAGAAAGCACTGTTCGGGATTTTAGTCGCCATCTTATAGTGTGATTTGGATCGGTAGGGTGATGACAAAAAACAAACAAACTTGACTTTGAGTCTTAATAAATCTTGCCAATCTGATTTATTCTGTCTGCATTTCCTAAATATAAATGAAGACTACATGAGTGGGTGAGTTTGGTTTAACACTGCTTTGAGTAGTATTCATGTTATTCCAAGGCGTGTCAGCCTCATTGATTGGCACGGAATGCTTAAAGTGATCCAGTTTAAAGAAGTTTACTGCTTTTGGTGTCACAAAAACAATCGGGGCAGTCGAACCCCAATGGGATGCATCTCTCAAAAAGAGGGGTGAGGTCAAATGGGGTTTAACGTCGCGTCCAAGACAGGGTAACAACAAGTACCATCTGATATCTTTTGTTATGATGCGGCCGGGAATCGAACCCGGGACCTTCAGCTCTCCAGGCGGACGCTCTACCAATAGACCATATATATATATATACTGAGTTTGTGCAGCTATTTGTAACTATGATGATGGTAGAGCGGTTGCCGGGAGAGCGGAAGGTCCGGGCTTCGATCCCCAGCCGCGTCATACCAAAAGACGTTAAAAAACGGCCTGCTGCACACCAATAAGGGGCTAAAACAAGGACTGGTGGACTCGGAGTCAGTATACTGTGTCTGAGTGGGGTTAGACTGTGGCTTGGTATCTCAGTGGGCTAGCACTGTAAATCGGCATCAGTCCGGACTAGCACAAACACACACACACACACACACACACACACACACACACACACACACACACACACACACACACACGCGTCGCTACATAAGTGCAATAATCTTGGACGCGACGTTAAACCCCATTTCACCTCACCACCAGTAAATCACTAAAGGTTCACTAAACAACAATCAAAGCAGCGTAAACACCTAAAGTCTGCGAAGAAGAAATCAAAATTTGTTCAAAATCAGCTGGCAAGGTGATGGCTTCAGTTTCCTGATATTCCAAAGATATCCTACTGGTTGAATGCATCCCTTAAAACCAGGCTATTAATGGATAATATTATGCTTATCTGATCAGCCAAATGCGTGACAACACGAAAGGTAAACCTCGTGGAAAACTCACTAAATGTATGTTGTTCCACCAGAACAATACACCCGTGCAAAGTCTGGCCTTCAAATCATTGAACATCTACCGTATTAACCAGATTAGGCACTGACAGATTTCCACCTCTTCCCAGACTTGGAGAAAGGGCTGTCTGACACGCATTATTCAAAAAGTGATGAAGTCATTTCTGCTGTGGAGGACTTTTCACACCACTAGGAAGAATCCTCCTTCACCATTTAGGTCACGTGTCATGTTAGGTTGTCCAGGCTTTGGGTAACGTTCGATTCCTACCTTTATGTTTTATTTTCTTGTATAACGTTCTTTTAACATTATTCCAGTTATATCGCTTGTCAGCTTCATGTGGGAGGAAAGCCCGAAGTGATGCGAAGTGATGCGAAGTGACGTTTACCTCTTCGGTGAAACCCACGAGCACGGGTCTGGTGCTGACAAACCTAAAAACATAATCGGGGCGAACCGGGATTCGAACCCACAATCATAAGTTTCTTGCGTGCCCAGGGGACGCAACTCTGCTCAGCGAATCGCGGCGCCTTAGACGACTGGGCCACCCGTGCCCCTTTCTTATATGACATAACAAAAATGATAATCATAAAAAGAAACAGTAGCCTTGATGATAGATATAAGTGATGTTGTCCTGAGTGAGTGAGTGAATATGACGGGCGAACGCTTTGACCACTAGGCTACCCGACCTCCCCGATGTTGTCCTGAGAATTGCGTACCTTGGTCGACACGTCTGTGCAAGACCTTCCACTGCGTCTACCATGCTGGTGTACCCATAATGCTGTGCGAACTCCTTGCTGACGAACACATAGTCAGCCATGTTGAACAAAACATCTGCAAAAATTCAGTGGTACCCAATTAGCCCTCAATATCACATAACAATCAATTATAATAAAATATTATTTTGATTGTAAATTTAATATCAATCCGGTCTTCGAACCCACAGTGCCAGAGTAAGGCACCAAATCACAAAGTCAGTAATATACCTCACTCAGCCACCGAGGCTTCCACAAAATGAAAGTCCGACAACTGGTAGTATAGATCACGTACTTTGTGTACCCCTCTGACAATTGTAAACTGGCACGGCTCCCATGGCCGAAACCTATGAACACACAACGACATTTAGAAAGTGGTCAAATGTAACAAATGTTATATTTGGAATAACACTTTCTTAGTAAAGTACAGATTCTAGAACTTTTTATCCCCCGCCCCAACGAAGTTGGCGGGGGATATAGAAATGGGTTCCGTCCGTGTGTGTGCGCGTGTGTGCGTGTGTGCGTGTGTGCGTGTGTGTGTGCGTGTGTGCGTCCCGAAATCGTTTCCGGAGTATAACTCAGAAACCGTTAAATATTTCTCTACGAAACTTTGCATGTCTATCAGACTCATGCTGAACTGGTGCCTTTTGCTATTTAGGAATTTTATAAAAAAAACATTTTTTACGTTTCCATGGCAACAAGTTGGACTTAGGTTCTAAAGGGTAGAGTTTGTTTCCGGAGCATAACTCAAAACCCATTCAATACTTTCCAACAAAAACTGTGCATGTTTACCAGACACATACTGGACTGGTGCCTCTTGCTATTTAGGAATTTTAGAAATTTTTATTTTTCACGTTTCCATGGCAATAAGTTGGACTTAGGTTCTACAGGGGTGGTGTTCGTTTCCAGAGCGTAACTCAAAAACCGTTAAATACTTTCTTACAAAACTTTTTCGGAATAGATCCTTATAACGTTGTCAGGCAACTATTTTCACTGCCTATTTTCACTGAGTGCGGCGGTAAACGAAAAACAATAATACCATGGTGTGGACGGCGTGGGTTCTCAAACTCCACAGATGTGACGATCTTGTCCTCCGTCCCAGCATTGTGGTCGAGCACCCGCTTCAGCATCTTTGCGACCTCCGGACAATTGGGACGCGTCTGGGAAAAACCGGCAAGTATCACATTACGGGTACTTGTCTAAGCATTAACAAACAAATTAAAAAAATACTACTTTTCATCGCAAAAACGTTTTGGTGGATTGGTTATAGCTGCTATCGAAACTGCATGATTGTATTTGTATATATGCTCGAATCTACAAGAGTCGGTTGGTGGAGAGAAATGTGCTTGCATTTGTACACAAATCATTCCTACAAATGTTTTAAGTTATTAAGACCGCCTCCGTGGTCTAGAGGTAGAGCGTCCGCCCGGAGAGCGGAAGGTCCGGAGTTCGATCCCCGGCCGCGTCATACCAAACGACGTTAAAAGATGGTACTTGTTGTTACCCTGTCTGGCGCTCGGCATTAAGGGGCTAAAACAAGGACTGGTCGGCTCGGAGTCAGTATACTGTGTCTGAGTGGGGTATTCATGTTAAACTGAGGCATGGTATCTCAGTGAGCTAGCACTAAATATGGTTTAGAACAAGCAGCCACACACACGTGCATGCATAAGTGCAATAATCTTGGACGCGACGTTAAACCCATCACCTTTAAATTATTAGGGCATTTACCGACGCTTCTTCATTGCTATCCATTATCTACATTGTATACGGATTTCGAGTATTCCCTTATACATAGAAACATTCTATAACACTGCAACATTTGAAAAATTGAAGTTACCTCAAAGTGAATCCACTTATACAGATCCAAATTCACGCTGATGAAATCATTATAAGTCATCTCGCGAAGTCCACTGAAACATATTCATATAATGTTTATATAAGCATACCATCAATCAACAATCTCAATTTAACGGTATATTGCAAGATAAATTTGACTCTTTAAGGTGAGATGAGGATGAACGGTGGTCATATAACGGCAGGGGCACATAACTTTCTCCTAAAGTGGTGGTGTTGGGGTGGCGGGGGGGAGGTAGGCCTAGGATCCGTGGTATGTAGCCAATAAGATAAGCAATATAGGCGTAGATGTTGTAACTGGTGTTAGTGATGTTAGTGACACTGTCTCTGTGTAATTAATGTACGCATTAGATTGATATTTATAATAAAATATGTTTGTTTTTGTTTGGTTTGTTGTTTAACGTCGCACTCAGCAACATTATAGCTATATGGCGGCAGTCTGTAAATAATCGAGTATGAGTGAGTGAGTGAGTGAGTTTGGTTTAACGCCACTTTTAACATTATTCCAGTTATATCACGGCGTTAATCGAGTATGGACCAGACAATCCAGTTATTGACATCATAAGCATCGATCCACGCAATTGGGATACGATGGCATGCATCAACCAAGTCAGCGAGCCTGACCACCCGATCTCGTTAGTCGCCTCTTACGACAAGCATAGTCGACTTTTACGGCAAGTATGGGTTGCTGAAGATCAATTCTACCCCGGATCCACGGGTCCAAAACATGGGTTAGTAGACGAAGTGTTTTAACAACTTGAATGAAACATGCTCTGGTAGCCACTTGGCCACAGGCCTACAAGAGTTATGTGTTTTTCCTGAACAGAGTTAATCATCGAGTGCTTGTTACTCTCACAGAAGGAGTCTGAGGCAGGTTAATTTTGTAAATGAAATGTATATGGTAACCGCTTTCTAAAATTGATTATGAGGACGGCTTGAAGCATTGCACCCTTAATCTGGTTTAGTGTATTTGTCATGCATGTGCTTCCATAAACCGATTTGTTTGTTTTTCTGTTTTTTGTTTAACGCCCCAATGAGCAATATATATGGCTGCGGCTTGTGAATAATGGATTCTGGACTAGGCAATCCAGTGATTAGTCGGGGTACGTTGACACACAACCAACCAATTCGCTGAGCCTGCCCATCCGGAATTGTGTTCACTTTGACAGATTAGAATCAACTTTCTGAGGCAAGGGAGTTAATTGACTGTAAAAGTCCAGTTTTCACCCTTGCCGAACCAGAAAGGAATTTCTGGGCTCGATTGTAGAGACACCAGTGGCTATTACGAGTTATGTCCCTTCTATGTTCCTCATATTGACCAATCAGATTCCACCTCTCATATCACTTGCATTTGCTTCAAACAAAATGGCGGCGCCCAGACAAGACGATCTGATCGAAGTACATCAAATCACGTGAGCACCTTGATTAAAAACATGAAAAGATTTGGAATGCTAGTATATATGTTGACGCTAAATTGACGGTACATGTTTTGCTAATCTTGCAATCGACCTAAATCGGCACGGCAGTTTACGAACCGAATGTGGATATTGTTTCTCGATTTTGATTGGACTGTATATAAACTCGTTAGTACAGACAAAACATAGCTCCAAAATTCCATCCTCGTTCGGCAAGATGGATTATTAATATTATTTTATGATAGAATGTCCGATACAACTATCTACAGAGTATCTCGTTGTGCCTGGAGTAGTAAACCATTTAAACTGGGCTTCATGTAGTGTTTGTGCACCTTCCTGGAGGAACTTACTTTCTTGAATTTAAGATGGTTCTTGATCCATTCTGTTTGTTTAATATAACAGTTGCTGTAGGGCAGCCAGATCCTTCACAAACTACAAGATGCTTTGTGCCAACGCAATGGGCTTTAAAATCCTCCATTAGAAACCTGTAACAGAATGTAACGTTCATTACGATGTGAATGGTAATATAGGTGAGAGTAGAAGACGTAAGAGATACCGTTACCTCAGAATATACTTCAACTTTCTGTGTGTTCGCGAAAAGGGATTACGGGAGAGGATAGATGAGATGGAGGCGATACTGCAGGATAAGCTACATATTCATTGGCTATCGAGTGTCATTGTTGTAACGTATTGGAGGGTAGATGAGATGGAGGCGATACTGCAGGATAAGCTACATATTCATTGGCTATCGAGTGTCATTGTTGTAACGTATTGGAGGGTAGATGAGATGGAGGCGATACTGCAGGATAAGCTACATATTCATTGGCTATCGAGTGTCATTGTTGTAACGTATTGGAGGGTAGATGAGATGGAGCCGATACTGCAGGATAAGCTACATATTCATTGGCTATCGGGTGTCATCGTTGTAACGTATAGGATGGTAGTTGAGAGATAGGGCCGATACTGAAGGATAAGCTACATATTCATTGGCTATCGGGTGTCATGGTTGTAACGTATTGGAGGGTAGTTGGGAGATGGAGCCGATACTGCAGGATAAGTTACATATTCATTGGCTATCGAGTGTCATCGTTGTAACGTATTGGAGGGTAGTTGAGATATGGGACCGATACTGCAGGATAAGCTACATATTCATTGGCTATCGGGTGACATCGTTGTAACGTATAGGATGGTAGTTGAGAGATAGGGCCGATACTGCAGGATAAGCTACATATTCATTGGCTATCGAGTGTCATGGTTGTAACGTATTGGAGGGTAGATGAGATGGAGCCGATACTGCAGGATAAGCTACATATTCATTGGCTATCGAGTGTGATTGTTGTAACGTATTGGAGGTTAGTTGAGAGATGGGGCCGATACTGCAGGATAAGCTACATATTCATTGGCTATCGAGTGTCATTGTTGTAACGTATTGGAGGGTAGATGAGATGGAGCCGATACTGCAGGAAAAGCTACATATTCATTGGCTATCGAGTGTCATTGTTGTAACGTATTGGAGGGTTGTTGACAGATGGAGCCGATACTGCAGGATAAGCTACATATTCATTGGCTATCGAGTGTCATTTGTTGTAACGTATTGGAGGGTAGATGAGATGGAGCCGATACTGCAGGATAAGCTACATATTCATTGGCTATCGAGTGTCATCGTTGTAACGTATAGGATGGTAGTTGAGAGATAGGGCCGATACTGCAGGATAAGCTACATATTCATTGGCTATCGGGTGTCATGGTTGTAACGTATTGGAGGGTAGTTGGGAGATGGAGCCGATACTGCAGGATAAGCTACATATTCATTGGCTATCGAGTGTCATCGTTGTAACGTATTGGTGGGTAGTTGAGAGATAGGGCCGATACTGCAGGATAAGCTACATATTCATTGGCTATTGGGTGTCATCGTTGTAACGTATTGGAGGTTAATTGAGAGATGGGGCCGATACTGCAGGAAAAGCTACATATTCATTGGCTATCGAGTGACATCGTTGTAACGTATTGGAGGGTAGTTGAGATATAGGACCGATACTGCAGGATAAGCTACATATTCATTGGCTATCGAGTGTCATCGTTGTAACGTATTGGAGGGTAGTTGAGAGATAGGGCCGATACTGCAGGAAAAGCTACATATTCATTGGCTATCGAGTGACATCGTTGTAACGTATTGGAGGGTAGTTGAGATATAGGACCGATACTGCAGGATAAGCTACATATTCATTGGCTATCGAGTGTCATCGTTGTAACGTATTGGAGGGTAGTTGAGAGATAGGGCCGATACTGCAGGATAAGCTACATATTCATTGGCTATCGAATGTCATCGTTGTAACGTATTGGAGGGTAGTTGAGAGATGGGGCCGATACTGCAGGATAAGCTACATATTCATTGGCTATCGAGTGTCATCGTTGTAACGTATTGGAGGGTAGTTGGAAGATGGGGCCGATACTGCAGGATAAGCTACATATTCATTGGCTATCGAGTGTCATCGTTGTAACGTATTGGAAGGTAGTTGAGAGATAGGGCCGATACTGCAGGATAAGCTACATATTCATTGGCTATCGAGAGTCATCGTTGTAACGTATTGGAGGGTAGTTAAGAGATAGGGCCGATACTGCAGGATAAGCAGTATAACTAAGATCGTAGTTTTCAAGAAGGGTGGTATTTTATCTAAAACAGAGAAATGGTACTATAAAGGTCAGCGACATGAATGTGTTCCCTCATATAAATATTTAGAACAATTATTTTCTAGGTCATATCATGGTCTGTTCATGTGAAAATGAGGCGGCACAAGCTAAGCAAGATCTATGTGGTGTGTTAAAATCTTAATAATTAATAAGAGGCGGTCGGGTAGCCTAGTGGTTAAAGCGTTCGCTCGTCACGCCGAAGACCCAGGTTCGATTCCCGACATAAGTACAATGTGTGAAGACCATTTCTTGTGTCCCCCGCCGTGATGTTGCTGGAATATTACTTTAAGCGGCGTTAAACCATACTCACTCACTCACTTAATATTTAATAAACTTCTATCCCATGAACTGTTCTTTAAAATTTTATTATACGGCTCTTACTTGTGGGATGTTGATATTGGGAAGGAATTGAAACCATATAAGTGTTTGTTTCAAGAGACTGTTGTTTGTAAAGCAATCAACATCAAACCATGACGTCAGAGGTGAATGTGGAAGCTACCATATATATTTGTTTGGATTGATGCTCATGATGTCAGTCGCTGGACTGTCTGGTCCAGACTCGATTATTTACAGACCGCAGTCATATAGCTGGACTATTGCTGAGTGCGGCGTAAAACAACAAACAAACAAAACAAACTTTCTCAGTTGTGATGCCGTTCCTCTAGATGGAAATGAGACTGGACGATATGAAGAGGAAGTAAAACAGCACATGTTATGTTCAGATAAACAAAATATTATTGAAGATTAATATCATTCTAAGATGCAAATTTATTCAACAAAATACAATCTTTTCCCGAAATAACATACTTTTGATGTTAATGACATTAAATAATGTAGCCATTATACATTATATAAAGCAACTTCCACTTACACTTATAAGCAAGTTACCCTTCTAAAGCACTTACATTTACACTTATAAAGCACTTACATTTACACTTATAAAACAACTTACACTTGTAAAACAACTTACATTTACACTTATAAAGCAACTTAGTTTACACTTATAAAGCAACTTATACTTAAAAAACAACTTACACTTATAAAGCAACTTACATTCACACGTATATAGCAACTTACACTTATAAAGCAACTTACACTTACACTTATAAAGCAACTTACATTTACACTTATAAAGCATTTACATTTACACTTATACAGCAACTTACATTTACACTTAAAAAGCAACTTACACTTATTAAGCAACATACACTTACACTTATACAGCAACTTACATTTACTCTTATAAAGCACTTACATTAACACTTATAAAGCAACTTACACTTACACTTATTAAGCAACTTACATTTACACTTATGAAGCACTTACATTAATACTTATACAGCAACTTACACTTATAAAGCAACTTAGGCTTACACTTATAAAGCACTTACATTAACACTTATACAGCAACTTACACTTATAAAGCAACTTACACTTACACTTATAAAGCACTTACATTAACACTTATACAGCAACTTACACTTATAAAGCAACCTACACTTACACTTATAAAGCAACTTACACTTACACTTATAAACACTTACATTTACACTTATAAACCAACTTACATTTGCACTTAAATAGCATGTATGTTATGCGATGTATTGATTCTCCATGTAACTGGCCTACGAAATGAATAAATATTCACTGATCGAGTTTTTGATGAAAGCATGTAGTTGAGTATACTCTACCAGTACAACCTTCCTTGTACATCCAGATATTGACTACCTGTTAGCTATTGGCGACATCAATATGACAGAAGGTCTACTGTATAGTTTATTTTCGATTTGTTATGCAAAAAGACAGGGTTACTGATCGAACGCATTGATCCAAGCATTTAACGAACTGAATATGTACGTGTACTGTATATTTCAGGATATGAGCAGTCCAGTGGAGCTGAAATTAACTATACAATTTAGCTCTGCCAGGATCCGCTCAGCATGTGTTCGAATACAAAACTGGCTGTAATTATGATCCCTGGTTTGTCAGCAGCGAACTCGTGATCTCTCATGCATTCTACTTAGAAACAAGTTAAGAACTACCTATTTCCTTCATATTATTATAGTTAATCTGTCATAGCATGCCAGATTCACTACTGCAGTCTAGAATAGTTAGTTTGTCGTGGCATGATAGATTAACTGTAATAATATGATAGAACCGGGTGGTCCTTAATTGGTTTAGCAGTATATAACTTAAATACTCTTCATGAGCTACGTCAAACCAAACTTACTCAAACGCTTACCGTTTTTCTGCTCCGTCCGTTATGGTACCCATGAACTCCGCATCCTCGCCCATCAGAGAGAGAACGGTGGCTGTATTGGAGGCATTCCCACCCCTTTGCCATTTGGAATCTGCACACCTTCACGTCAACAAGGCAATGACACTTTCGTCATAATGTGCACAGTTACTATCAGTACCAACACAGACACCAATAACAACATCACATCGTCAAACTGGGACCTCTAATATAAACGCTCACGCATACACCAATAGTAGCATCACATTGTCAAGTTGTGTGCAGTTACTATCAATATCAACACAGACACCAATAACAACATCACATCGTCAAGCTGTGTGCAGTTACTATCAACACCAACACAGACACCAATAACAACATCACATCGTCAAGCTGTGTGCAGTTACTATCAACACTCACACAGACACCAATAACAACATCACATCGTCAAATTGGGTGCAGTTACTATCAATTCCAACACAGACACCAATAACAACATCTCTCCTCAAGTTGTGTGAAGTAACTATCAATATCAACACATACACCAATAACAACATCACATCGTCAAGCTGTGTGCAGTTACTATCAACACCAACACAGACACCAATAATAACATCACATCGTCAAGCTGTGTGCAGTTACTAGCAATACCAGCACAGACACCAATAATAACATCACATCGTCAAGTTGTGTGCCTTTACTATCAATACCAACACAGACACCAATAATAACATCACAACGTCAAGTTGTGTGCAGTTACTATCAATATCAACACATACACCAATAATAACATCTCTCCTCAAGTTGTGTGCAGTTACTATCAATATCAACACATACACCAATAACAACATCTCTCCTCAAGTTGTGTGCAGTTACTATCAATACCAACACAGACACCAATAACAACATCACATCGTCAAGCTGTGAGCAGTTACTATCAATACCAACACAGACACCAATAATAACATCACATCGTCAAGTTGTGTGCCTTTACTATCAATACCAACACAGACACAAATAATAACATCACATCTTCAAGCTCTGTGCAGTTTTCATGTGTGTTATCACTTATTTATTTAATCATTTCTTGGTGCGGTTTTAGACTAACATGCGGATCTGGAGCAGTGAGTTATTTCCTATCTGTACAAATGCCTACCTCTGTCCAGTGTCTTCAGTCGGGTATGTTTCCACAACAAGGATGGCATCCACACAGACAAGACCTACACACAGGATTGTCTTCTTAGGTGACGTCATCTAGATGAACAAGTGTGACGTCATAATGACACTGATCGGATATCATCATATGCATTATTATTTTGAAGTTTAAGGGATTTACGGTGATGTGGTTGGTTTATTTGCTGCTCACATGACCCGTTCATTTTTCAACAAACTTGAAAAAGTGAAGTTTACAAGAAATACATAAACTTCACCTTTTGACGTTTACAGCAGTTTTGACCGGAACTACTTTTCATGAAAATCCCCAAGTGGAACACTTCTCTATTGTCTTCCCTCCTCACAACGATCGTGAAGATCGGCAATATCGGACAATAATCTAATGTTTCTTTTACGCACAAGGTTTCATTAAAACGCTCCTTTACATATTCGCATTAAATTAATGAATATACTAAAAACAGTATGAATATTAAAATAATATCCTATTAGGGGGTTATCGTCTGCTATTCCTGATCGCAAATCACCATGGATCCCTACGGACATTTTGACTTAGAATGGCCTTCTAATGTCTCTGCACCAAAGGAAGATCAGCAAACAGGCATGGACGATGATGATTTATTTACTGTCATCAATAGATTCTGACAGTCTTTTTCATCCTCACTGAAGTTCAATTTGAAGGATTTAGAGTCTCAACGACACAGCATATCAACCCTAAAAAAACACCATTGAACATTTAATCAAGGTGCTGACGTGATTTGATTCACTTCGGGAAGTAAGACCCGCTTTATTACCATGTAGATTTTTATTATCCATCAGATTGTGTAGACTGGGCGCCGCCATTTTGCTTAAAGCAAATGCAACTGATATGGAAGCTGACATTTGATTGGTCAATAGGACTGACGGAGAAGGGACAAAACTCATAACAGCCACTAGTGGCGCTAGGATCGAGCTCAGAAATTCCAGGCTAGTTCGGCAAGGGTGGAAACTGGCTTGGAAACCACAAGGATGAAAACTGTTGGTCGAACTATCGATGCATTGCGGTTATTGCGGGTAGCCTAGTGGTTCAAGCGTTCGCTCGTCACGCCGAAGACCCGGGCTCGATTCCCGACATGTGTGTGAAGCCCATTTCTGGTGTCCCCCGCCGTGATATTGCTGGAATATTGCTAAAAGCAGCGTAAAACCATACTCACTCACTCACTAGTCGGGAAAGATTTGATTGTTTAAACAAAATTGATTAAATTTAAAATACTGAAGAAATATAATTTTCACCTCAAGTTTCACAAACTCTCTCTCGCTGGAACTTCAGGGTGATGTCCTGGCACAAGCAATATTCTGCCAATAAAAGCGCCCTTAATCCCAATTCATGATCAGTCACTCACGTTTACCTATAGATGTTTGGAACGAGTACAAACACTGGAGTTAAGCTTTGGAAAAGTGTTATGGTAGACATGTGGAGGACGTTTCTAAATTTGACGCATCACTGACGAGAATGATCGATGAATTTGACTTGTACCATATATTCCCGTGTGAGTTTCTGTTGACTAACTGACTGTGACGGGCGCCAGGGGTTGGGTAGCATACGCATACATTGTCGCGAACATCTGGTGTCATCACTATTTGATAGTGATCGTTTATAAATCACTATCAAATAGTGATGACACCAGGCATGCTTAGCGGCGGACCATTTGATATTTGGAGTGGGGGTTCTTGTGTTGAGTCATGTTTTTTTCTTCATTTTCAGGGCATAGGATTTGTTTTTTGTCACATTTCCAATTCAGCCTATGGATAAAAATGTTACATTTTTCTCACTACTCATTCACTAATACATAATAACTGTACATGTGTAGGTAATTTTTCAACTTGGCAATGAAAATACCAGTATACTAAAGTATTTAATATAATAAAAGACTATTTCTACAACGTCCATGGTGGCAAAAACCCAGAGCGCAGTTGTCTTCATTTTGACAGAAATGAGATCAACTTGGCATGTTTGTACTCATAACTACTTAAGGAATGTACTTTTCATTTACTTAGATTGTGGATGATGGACATTAGTAGCATAACTTTTGAACACAAGAAACATCAATAGCAATCTGAAATATGGACACGTTGGATATAAACCCCGAATAGTGTTACAAAATGTTTGGGAATCAATCGCCCAAACACAACCAAAACGAATCGCAAAATGATACACGTGCTACAGTACCCAGAGCAGTGGAACTTGAGTTTGAAATGAAACTTGCACCTTCAAAGATATGGGTATAAAAGGAACGATGTACTGTTCATTCTCACCCAAATGTTGACATTAAAATTAAATGAAAAGGTCAACGCTACAACAGAAAGAACAGGCTGTTGGCATGATGTACCAAGGATCAACGCATGACAACGACGACGCAGGGAGTATTGGCTGCAGCCGAATGACAGTCACCAGGCGCACAGTCTGTTACCGGCAGACAGGGCGGACGAGAGACAGGCCTAGGAATGGCAGACCTTCTGTCACCACCACCCAAGAAAACGCAACATATGTATCCTCCATTTGAGGAATCGTGTTATCATGGCGATGTCACCAGCTGAGACAGTCATCCTGTCAGTAGCAGGACGGTGTCCAGATGAGGTCATCGGTACAATATCAGAACTAACAGACCACGACGAGACGTAATGTTGATACCGGAATACCGACATTGAAGGGCTCGAACTCTGCGACGCTGGTTGAACAGAAACTAAACAGTCATGTTCACGGGAGCGAGCAGATTCCAGCGTTTCAAAGCAGATGGAAGAGTTTTTGTCTACCGTCGATTAGGAGAACGAACGTCCCATTGTTGCGACCATGATGTCTAGCCGTTTTGAGGACGCGGCATTATGGTTGAGGATGGCGTCTGTAGCCAAATCAAGGCGGCATCATCAGCCAAGCCATGACACTTCAGGTGATTTTGGAAGACAAAATCATAGGACAGCATTGCATTGACCAGTCTCTTTATCATGCTGTGCTACCGATCTTGCAACAGAACCCGGTCCCATACACAAGGCATTACAACGTCTTCTCCTAGCCAGCAGAGTTACCAGACTTATCACCTATAGAACTCTTGTGGGATCACCTTACAGAGATCACAAATTACAGCACGACCAGGTCGTCCTTATACCAAGGATCAGAATCAAGCACATGTCCTCCGAGAAGAATGGCGTCAAATCCCATTTCTTGGGATCACACCTCACATCTTCTGCCTGCCGCCGAGTTGTCATACGCGATATTGAAGGATTGAAGGATTAAAGGGAGTTGCATGTGCTCATTTCAGTCTTGATCGTGGAGCGAATACTGAACAAGTGTCCCATCCTCCAAACTGTGGACACAGTACCTTCATTTTTGTATTCTTTACAGCAGAACCTATAAGGATGCTGTTAACTCTGAGCCAACGGAGCTGAAACTTTGATTTCTTGGTCCATCACGTCAATCAGAATATATTTTCAATTTTAAGAATACTCATTTTAAGTTTGAATACTCATTCAAGTGTTAGGTGTTTACTAACTATATACTAAAACGACCCTAGGCATGTTTATATTATTTCGGGATTTACGGTTTAATCAACTAACTCAATCAACTGTTTGATTTGCATTCTAGAAATTGGCAAATAATTAAGAAAAACGTACAACTCTATGGATAGCAACTTCTGGATTATTGTATATAGCGACATTTCGATGTAGATTCTTACACCGTTATCTAGCTCTACATCGAAACGTAGCTATATACAATAATCCAGTTTTTCTTAACTAACTTAACGTACATATCTGATATATATCTGTTTTTACCGAAGATGCATCAGTGTGACGTATATGTTGAATAAAATGTGATACATAGATCACCGGGTTCATTAACAACTACCTCCAAACTGTGGACACAATACGTCCATTTGTGTTCACATTTGAAGTGACTATTAATAAAATATAGAAACATTAATAGGAAATAGAATGCATTGAAAATGTGAAATTAGCTTATATTTACCTTAGTGTACGAAGAAAGGGACGCATCCACCGGATGTTGCTATGTCAGACAACTGTATGTCGCGATTTTCACTTGGTAATCTCGGCCGTCCTCGGTTTAATTTAATCAATCCGTGCATATCGATTGTTCGTGCAGCAGATGTTCTTCAGAATTAACTTTGTAAGCTAAAATTCTTTCTATTTTCACATACATATGATTAGTTAGGTTTAAACATGATTGTACAATGTCATACATATAATTCATTGTTGAATTGGAGGGGAATTGTCGAATGGAACAACATTTGCATATGTTAACAAGGCAACAAACTTAGAAAAGATGTGCATTATTTCAGAATTTCTTTTACTTTGTGTTCTTTGAAATATGAGCCTTTACAAAGTGAGGGCCAAACTCTGTGGCCATCGGAGCTTGCGACAAATGTCAGTTCTTATAATTTTTATATCAATACTTTATACCTCTAAGTCGACGAATTATGTGTACTTAATTTCATTTAATACGTGTGATGTCGTTTTTACACTGACGGCCATCAAACGACCACCTGTATTGCGGAAAAAAAATAGGTCATCAAAAAGGGAGATGACATGAGCCAATGTATGCTCAAATTGCTTTACGCTAAAATCGTGTGTAGTTTGGTTTCAACAATGAGATTAAAGTAATGTAACTGGGGAAGATGTGTTAAGAACTCGTTGTATTACATTTGCATCTGGTCAAGTACAGGGCTTCAAAATGGCACAATTATCGCGACGCGGGAGATATCCGAACTTGTCAATAAACTTGTGGTAGTTACACGTGTTTGTCGCGATTGATCATTTGGACCGATCATTGAAATGTGATTATAAAGATAGTAATTGTAGTGTTTGGTTCTATGTACTCATTATATGGACGACCCGTGAAGATCCGGAGAATAGGTCTTCAGCAGCCTATGCTTGCCGTGAAAGGCGACTATTCTTGTCGTAAGAGGCGACTTACGGGATCGGTGGTCAGACTTGCTGACTTGGTTGATATATGTCAGCGTATCCGAATTGCGTGGATCGATGCTCATGATGTCAATCACTTGATTGACTCGATTATGTAAAGATCGACGTCATACAGCTGGAATATTGCTGAGTGAGGAGTTAAACAACAAACAAACAAACAAACATTATCTGAACCAGACGCGGTACTGGTCGCAAGACTAGACTTGGAGACAAACAGACGCACAAGGCGATGTGCCGGTGTCCCGGTATAAACTCTCCCCCGTACAAATTCTCCCCCCGGAGATTTTATACCGGTACAGATTCTCCCCCGGCGAATCTGTTCTGAAATAAAATCTCCCCCGGGCGGATATATTTCGCCCCCCCCCCCCCCCCCCCCCCCCCCCCCTCAGTATAAAGTCTCCCCCCTGATTATTCGGTTTGTATATATATTCTTTAAATAGTTATCTTTAATGTAAGGAGGGTTACTTTAAAAAATAGATTATGAAATATGGTCATAATGAATTGATATTTCAGAATATTTTATTTGGTAACTGTACCTTCCATTGTCTGTATACATTTTTGTAATATGCCAGTTTGAGTCTACATGTGAACACAATCGATGGTTGAAATGTTAGTCTAAGAACAAAACATGAACTAATTCTAAAGAACTCTGATGTATAAAGTTACCTTCATCTTTGATTGACTGATGTATTTTCAATCTTTATTCAGCACTGAAGAGGCCACAGGCCTATAGTACGAAGCATTAAGTTTATGAATAAACTGTTATAAAGTATTCATAAAGTATCAGGGGTCATTTCAACTTACAAAATGATTGACATGGTCCTTTATAGAGCGAGGATTGGGCTGTTTTCCCATCCGATTGACTGGTATTACAACATTCACATGGTTTAGAATGGTACAATGAATAAAGCATGCAAATTACACTAATACGCGATATTTCATAAGAAAATATCATATCTCCGTTGAAACATAAAACCAATATTTATGAGTCTACATATTGATATAAGACTTTATCACTGTATCCAATTCCAACATTTTAGATATAAACTTTCGGACAGTTCAGTTCAAAATTCTTCAACCTTTAATACATCACAGGGATTTGTAGCTAGACGACGGGAATCTACAGTCTTGACTGTGTGTGTGTTTTTTTATGAGAATGTTTCTCACCGACCTTAGCGTGTAGGGGTGTGATGTCCTGGGCAGGAAATGACAGTGTTTTGACTACTCGTCTTTCATTAATTAACGTTATGGGCATCCCTAATTAACATTTACTAATTCATGTTAAACCAACACATGATGTTTTCTGGAAGTGGACAATCGCGAATGTAATAGGGCTGACGCGACATGTGTTAATAACTGTCCTAGAACTTCTTAAGTTACTAAACATTCTTTATATCTAACGACTAATATTATATCCACCTATATACCACTTTATTGTCTCATATTGCGGTAGTAAAGAAAACACAGTGCTCAAAGTGAAGCCCTTTTCACTCCACATTCTCAACATCGTCTCTATCAGAAGTGTTTGGCAACTATTGAACTGCATGGCAAGTATTTATAAAACGACCGGGGGAGGAAATATTCTGGGGGGAGATTTTATTTCGTAGGGTGGGGGAGAATTTATTTCGAGAGGGGCGGAACTGTACCGGTATAAATGACACCGGCCGCATGGAACTCTGGGTTGGAGAGTGTAGTTGTCGCAGCGCGCATTGATCCGGGAACCAGACCGGAAGTGACAGTTTGGACCGTCGCTTATATCATTTCAAAAGGAGAGTTATTTCCCTTTGGAACAAAAAGATTGCCCAATAGTCAGTGTTGATAAGTCAATAATGATCGGTTAATCATCACACGAACAGTGATGATGGCGTTGAAATATGAGCACATACTGTCGTGCTGTGACTCGTTTGATTGAATTTGTTGTTATTTATTGTCAAAAAAGAAAGACGATATTTGCAATTGCCATAAGCTCCCAATTTATGCATCACACAATATATTATTGCAAATTTCCATTTCATCTACCCTGAGCCTTTTTCCAATATTAAATGTTCAGCTCTTACAAGGAACGTCACAGAAAGTAGTATAGGTAATGGTGATTCTGCCGCAACCCCACTGGAGCCAGATTTATATACCTATACTGCTACTACAGGGGGAATTTTTTATGTGTAAACGCTGATGCGATTCAACGATCGTCATGAGATTAAGTTAAATTGACTCTAGCTCACCACTACCTTGAGTCAATCAATGATACCATAGAGGGAATTTTTAGCACAAAAAACGATGATGAGACTAAACTAAATTGGATTGAAAATATTCTCTATTATTTTTACTCATACGCATACCATAATTTTTTAACAAAGTGATATTCAACATTTTTACTAAGTTCTTCGTTCATTTTACTAGGAGACCAGACTATATACTCTTCTTGGTAATTGGAAAGAAACAATTGATGACCGTATTTGGTTGGTCTGACATCATTGATATAATATATACCTTGTGGTAATTCTCTCCAATTGATAATTTTGTCCCTGAGCATAAATGCTTCGATAGCTTTTTCGAGTTCTTCCTTTGTTGGTTTGTAATTCTCCATTATTATATATTTATGTAAGCATTCGTTTAAATGAATGTATGATTTGTTATGCGGTGCGATCCAATGATAGGAAACAATCTATTTTTAATCTCCAACCAGTTCTTTGGTTTTGGCACGGAATAATTGACGCGCTTGTGTCCCCTGTTCTATGTACTTTTTTTCTCGTCTTCGCTAATACCACTGATCTTACGATATTTAGATCGAATCTCCTGCTTTATTGTGTTGTATTTGGTGAGTTCTGACAACACTGAACGAAAATCCTCCTCGGATATCTTACAATCAGCCAGTGCTGTTGAAATATGATCCTCAATGCTGTTCAACTTTGCTTCGGCGAGTATCGGGGGCACGATTCACTGTGCAGAGTTGCGTCCCTTGGGCACGCCAGAAACCTATGATTGTGGGTTCGAATCCCGCTTCGCCCCGATTATGTTTCTAGGTTTGTCAGCACCATACCCGTGCTCGTGGGTTTCACCGAAGTGCTAAACGTCTGAGACCTGCATCACTTCGGGCTTTCCTCCCACATTAAGCTGACACGCCGTGATGTAACTGGAATACTGTTCAAAGCGGCGTTAAACCCAACTCACTCACTCATTCGGCGAGTATCCGAATATTATCATGTTTTAATGCTTTCTTTGGCAACTTACGAGAAATAAATTTTATCGCTATTCCTGCCAATCCAGAGACTCCAGCGGCTATTTCCATGTCAAGTACGATAGGCGTGGCGATTATAGTTGATAGTAAACCAACACCGGCTACACCGAGTCCCATGCCAGCCTTTACAAGCATACGTTATCAATGTACCTCGAGTACAAGCAAGTAATATCCATGTACTGGTACAGCATAGCATTATTATGAATATGAAATCACAATAGCACATTTTCTTTTTAAAACAGACAAATTGTGCGTTGATAATGCTTTAATCTCTACATTAACAATCCCGGAAGAAAACTAACCCCTTTTTTGCACCCCTGTGTCCAAGCTTGTTCTATTATGCCAACAGTTCAAACTCGAGACCTAGCAACATATCCGATTACACTTGGCCCAGGCTGACCCTAGCGGGATTCCGTCAGTTCTCAATGCAATACTCACGCGGTAGTCTGTCTCCTAGGCCTGGTCCTGCGCCATGACTGTGGAATTTATATTTTTTAGGTATTCTGTTTTACTAAATTCCTAGGCAAGTCTAGATCATACTAACCAAGTCTAGTTTAGTTGATTCCATAACAGCAGAAGGAGAAAGGTTCTTCCGAATAAAAAAAATATATATTAAAGAAATGTTTTCATTGACTATGTGTTACTCTATCTGCCCCCAGATCCTAGAGAATATATTTGAAACGGACTCCAAGTAAAGAATGATTTGACAAGTCTAGATTGCCTAAGTTCTGGTCCTGAAATGAAGCATCGTTCTGGGATCCATTTGTATTCTATTGAGTAGATTTATAATTTTAACTACGTGAAATTGTATTTCTGGGATGTTGGTTGATTTTAGATGTGGGTATTTATAGATAACAAAAAAATATGAAATAT